AGAACGCTATGGTACGTTCCTCATGGCGGTGGAAAGAAAGAAAAAAAAAAGAAAAAAAATGGAAGGAATGTTGCTCGGCGGAGGTTTGTATTCGATGAATCTTTGCAAATCAAAGTTAATCTTTAGGGAAATCAGGGGATAGATAGGGTGAATGAGGGGTATACGAGTACAAAAAGACTTAGTAATTGGGCGCCCGGGGCAAGGAAAGGGGCATAGGTGAGAAAACAGTATATAAAATGTTTAAGTCTTTTTGTACTCATTTAAACCTCTTTACCCCTATTTATCCTCCTATTTACTCCTATCTATCCTTACTTTTTCCTATCCTCACATACCCCCAACTATCCCCTAACACAATTAAATGATTGAAGAAAGCTTGCTTTGAAAGTCAGGAAGGCCGGGGGAAAGAGAACCCCCCTCAGTCTACTCCTCGCCCAAGGCGAGGGCATATTCGCCCTCTCGCACTACTCCTCTCACACTCACAAATTCTCACTTTGTTACCTTGTTCTTTTTTGGTTTATCCAGGGCTTGAACCATCGACTGTGTACTTGGCAGACCATCGACTTCACCACTACACCACCAGTTCTTGCGGTGAGAGCCTACAGTTTTTTATTTTACTTAATCCTTTTTGGAAGGATCTTTGATGAAATAGAAGAAAAGAAACATTCCCATCTGGGACTCGAACCTCCGCCTTTATACTCGGAGAGCACTGCCTTTACCAGTAGACCGCACGATATTGCGACGAAAGGCTGTACTTTTTTATATTACCGAATACCGTATGGGTAGGATCTCAAATGAAATAACAATTTAAAGGAGTTCTTTTTAATGTTCATGATTTATTTCTCTAAAACACGCACACAACTGTATCTTATTCGTAGCTTGTAACATCATAGTAGCCATTTGTGTTCTCGCTATAATATCGCATACAAGGTATGAAGTGCCTTAAAGCCCTATTGTTTCCATAAGTTAGTTATATGCGGCACAAGTGAAGCTAATGGTTACGGTGCGATTGTTTTGTATTTTTAATGAAGTGAAGTCGAAGTAAAGTACAAGATTTAACAATGCATTTCAAAATAGGTTTAAAAGAAAAAAGTTCAAGAATTAAGAATGTATTTCAATGTGTATAACACGTATAATCATGAGGCAACAAGCATGCACCTCGCACTCTCGTAAATTACATCTGAAATCGCAATTGAAGCAAATATCCAGTTAAACAGATATTAACTAGTATTTATCTCTAGACTTTGTTGTATAAAGAGTCGAAATCACTAGCTTGTCTAGCACGTTCGTCGAATATAAAATACGCTAAGAAAAAAGATGTTCAGTTCAAAAGCGCAATTTCTGCAGTTAACAAACAAACAAACAGCGGTTCTACAATATTACGGCAACGCTTCATATATATTCATTTAAAAGTCCTTCGAAGAAACGATTAAGTCAAATAGAGAACAATAGCTTATCGACAAACGATGTGGTCGTCAAGCAGTTGTTAAGACGTTGATCTCTTTTGTACAAAGGTTCAAATATTAGATTAGCGTATTTTATATTCGACAAACCTGCAATACAAGCTAGTGTTTCGACTCTTTATACAACAAAGTCTTGAAATAAATAGTCAATGTCTGTTTAACTGGATATTTGCGATTTCACATGCCATTTCAGATATAATGCTTGTTGCCTGATGACTATACTTTTAGCCGGATTCATATTAGAGACGGGAAACTCATCGAAAGCGGGGGACTCGTCTGAATTTTCCCGTCTAACTTTCCCGTCCGCTTATTTAAGAGACGAGTAAGTTGGACGGGAATACCGTCTGCAAGAGAAACTCGTCTTAAACTCGCATGTAGACAGATAAATCAGAGTTTCAGAAATACCAGCACGGTCAAGGACGGAACAAAACTAAGGAAAATAAACACAATTATTATCCTAATGATAACGCATTACCCAACCCATCATACGTAAAAATTTTCCGTACCAATTCATATTCGGACGGGTATTTACGGCTTTCTTGTAAACCTATTTTAAAATACATTGTTAATTCTTGTACTTTACTTTGACTTCACTTCATTAAAAATACAAAACAATCGCACCGTAACCATTAGCTTCACTTGGGCCGCATATAACCAACTTATGGAAACATGGTGCTGTAAGGCGCCGCATACCTGTATGTGATCAATTTAGCGACAACACAAATGGCTAATATTAAATTACAAGCTACGAATAAGTTAGTAAAAATACAGTGTGTGAAATTTGAGAAAATAAATCATGAAAATTGATTAAATTGAACTCATTTAAATTGTTCTTTCATTCGAGATCCTACCAAAAGGTATTTAGTTTCGTCAAAGATCCTTCCAAAAAAGGATTAAGTAAAATAAAAAACCATAGGCTTTCACCGCAAGAACTGATGGTGTTGTGGTGAAGACGGTGATCTGAGAAGTATACAGTCGATGGTTCAAGCCCTGGATAAACCAAAAAAGAAGAAAAAGGTAATAAAGTGAGAATTTGTGAGTTGTGAGAGGAGTAGTGTGAGAGGGCAAATATGCCCTCGCCTTGGGCGAGGAGAAGACTGAGGGGGGTTCTCGTTCCCCCGGCTTTCCTGACTTTCAAAGCAAGCTTTCTTCAAACATTTAATTGTGTTAGGGGATAGTTGGGGATATGTGAGGATAGGAAAAAGTAGGGATAGATAGGAGTAAATAGGTGGATAAATAGGGGTAAAGAGGTTTAAATGAGTACAAAAAGACTTAAACATTTTATATACTGTTTTCTCACCTATACCCTTTTTCTTGCCCGGGGCGTCGAAGCCGCCCTTGCCCCGGGGGCGCCCAATTACTAAGTCTTTTTGTACTCATATACCCCTCATTCACCCTATCTATCTCCTGATTTCCCTAAAGATTAACTTTGATTTGCAAAGATTAATCGAATACAAACCTCCCCCGATCAACATTCCCACCATTTTTTTTATTTTTATTTTTTCATTTTTCTTTCCACCGCCATGAGGAACGTACCATACTGTTCTTGATACCCCGATCTTGTACTTGATAGTCAACGACTTTACCACATGGCTAACTGGTGATTGTTGGAAGCCTACAACAACTTATTCTCCATAACCTTACCATGTAATATACTAATATTAATAACTAAAATTTCCATCTAAAACGAGATTCGTACCTTCGACAGTCGACACATGAGACCATCATCTTGACCACTAGACTACAAGATCTTTTGCTGAAAGGCTATGGTTATTTAATTTACTTTATCCTTTTCACGAAGTTCATAATGAAAAACCGTTATGGTAGGATTCGAACCACCGATTTACCACTTGGGAGACCATTGTCTTCACCACTAGACTACACGATCTTGTGCTGAACGGCTATGGTTATTTAATTTACTTTATCCTTTTCACGAAATCCATAATCAAAAACGGATATGGTATGATTCGAACCATCGATTTACCACTTGGGAAACCATTGTCTTAACCACTAAACTACACGATCTTGTGCTGAACGGCTATGGTTATTTAATTTACTTTATCCTTTCCACGAAGTTGATAATGAAAAACGGTTATGGTAAGATTCGAACCATCGATTTACCACTTCGGAGACCATTATCTTTGCCACTAGACTACAAGATCTTGTGCTGAAAAGCTATGGTTATTTAATTTATTTTATCCTTTTCATGAAGTTTATAATGAAAAACGGTTATGGTAGGATTCGAACCATCGATTTACCACATGGAAGTCCGTTGTCTTCGCCACTAGACTACAAGATCTTGTGCTGAAAAGCTATGGTTATTTAATATACTTTATCCTTTTCATGAATTTTATAATGAAAAACGGTTATGGTAAGATTCGAACCATCGATTTACCACATGGAAGACCGTTGTCTTCGCCACTAGACTACAAGATCTTGTGCTGAAAGGCTTTGGTTATTTAATCTACTTTATCCTTTTCGCGAAGTTTTGTAAAGTTAAAAAAAAATAAATTATCAATTATCACGGCTTATAATTTATTTTTTAGCTCCTTGCACCTTGTGCATAAATCTTGATCAGATCTCCATTTTATTTTTTCATGATGAAGATGCTATGAAGTAAAGCAAAAGATGGTTTGTGATGCAAACAAACGTTAAAGAAATGTTTTCTGCATATCTTGAAGATCATTAATCGCCACAATTAGGAAACGATAAGTATGTAGCTACACCTTTTGAACTTTGCGATATCAGAATTTGTTGCAAGGATTTTGCTGGTCCCAGGGGCGCCGGAATATCGATAATAACGGGGGCAGATATTCATATATTCGTGTTCGCAGATCGTAAAAACAATCGATTTCAAAAAAAGTTAATAATGCAGAACACGAATATATGAATATCTGCCCCCGTTATTATCCATATTCCGGCGCCCCTGGCTGGTCCTAAACTTAGGACTTGCACGCAGGCACTCCCAGTTTCCAAATAATAGTCTTCCCTCTGCAAATCAGATTACGGCGGTCCACTACAAAAAATCACGATTTATTCTGTTTTTAAAATTTCAAGGGATGAAAACTTTAATATATCCCTAAGTGATCCTGAATATTTTTTCTCCAAAAATATACAAAGAACGGAAGAATTAAACAAAACGTTTTATTAATTAGGGTTTTTCCCGGAGCAAACTAAAGGGGTCAATTGGCTTATTCTATCGTTTCATTGTTCTATTATATTGTTCTCTATAATTTATGAATACATGCAAAACTTTTTTCGTCGCTTTTCTTAGCAAACTAAAATTCTAATTCTTCTTATTTTTGCACGATAACTCAATAAGTAATAAAGCTAACTTGATAAAATAAAAGAAAAAAAATTTGTAGTGGACCATTTAATTAATTTAGTTAATTTGAATTTATTCTTGCAAATAAATTTTAAAATAAATAAATAAATCTAAATCAATTTATTTATTTATTTATTTTATTTTAAATTCTTTGAATTTAATTACAAACGCAAAATAGCTAAATCTTCTGTATAGAAGCAGGCGGTGAGCAATAGTAACAAATAACTAGGCAGTAGCTTGTAGTGGTGAAAATATATTGTAAATATAAATATATACTACGTATATATACCATGTATAGAAATTATGAAAACGTTTTCGCTGGCAAATTTCTCACTTCAACATTCTTTACAAGTCCTTGGCCAATAATTTGAAAATCCGACAAAATGGCTTGAATATTTGGAACGACAGTATTCTTAGCACCTTTCATCTAAAAAAAAGCACGACACAATTTTACTGGTGATGTAAAAAATAGCTGAATTACAAGACTAAAACACAATAGTTTTCTTTGAGAGGGACTTCTGGACAAAATGAATTACCCGAAGAAGCATTATTAATCGCTCACATGCAATGAGATCCTCAATGAAGCCTCGCCTTCACGCCAGACATTTTTCGTAATTTTGGCAAGAAAATTAGGAGGTGAAATATATCATGCAGTTCGGTCTGTCATCACACAGCTGTAAAGAACATAGTACTACGTAGGCCTCGTACCATACAAAATCTTTACCTGGTTGTTACTTTCGGTAGGAATTCGATACTGACTGCCAAAAACCTAGAGAAGATAGTTTCTCAGGTAAATATACACGTGATAGTTTGTACGCACGTCTCTCTACAGTCCACAGTTTGTCTTATTCAGTTGCTTGAAATATACATATTAAGATGACGCTTTTTGCTATCTTCGACAATTTCTAAACCCATGCATATGAGAAATTTGTAATATAAAATTCTGTTGTAATTACCACGCAAAAGTACGAGAATCTTAGGTACTTGTCACATTATCCCACTTAGCCGGGATTAAATAGGGCGTAAACTGACTTCAAAGTCTTTAAATGAGTATATAACATTATGATCCTGGCTTGGTGTTTCATACCAATAATGGAATAATTATGCTTGCATGTTTGGCTACATCTAAAGACTTCAAAAGACTTACGCCTGTATTCTAAAAGCTCACTCACACTTAAACTCATTGAGTGGGAGATCTTAATCTTCTCATAACGTTTTCATGGCGGTATTTCCATTCGAATAGGGGCTTGATTTTCAATGTTTTACCTTAAATCATTGCACCTATTCATAAAGAACTTTCTCATTGACTAGCATTGACATAAATTTATATGTCACACTCAATGAGTCCGAGTGTGAGTGAGCTTTTTGAAAACAAGCGTTACTCTATTCCACTTCTTTAAATCTCGATCGGTTAACCTGACTCATATAAACAACCCGTATTGGTCTGATATGTATGTATTTCATGCAATAGTTTTATGCATGCAATGTTCGTTTTTACATTGTTTTTCTATGGAGGTGAAGAATATCGCCATTTCGTAACTTATATAAGAATGAATAAAGCAAAAAACCTTGAACTGAGTCGGCTGAAGAATTTCTGGTTTCCACACAACACCAATTCTGTCCCCACCATAGGTATCGCGAAAAAACAATGCCACGTCTGAGAAAGCTTCCTAAATGTTGAGATAAATACAATTCTAATTTACCATTATAGGAAAAGCGTTTGCGGCAGTCAAATTTAAAGTGCCTTTGAAGCGATATTTTATCGATAATGCAATCTCTTTGCTAGAATTTCTGTGGCTCTTTCCATTTTTGGGATATTCACTCTACATCGCAATTAGCCTTTTTAACGATGAAGAAAATCGGCCATTTTTGGGGTATCAGCACTTTTGTCAGTCAGATCGTGCTAATTGATGTTGGGATCAAAAGTAGAGTGACCAGTAGACTCACTGGGGAAATGGTTTACCTACTAACATTGATATTTGCTATCATGAAAGGTCCTTTCCGACACAAATCAATTTAGTCAAGAAAAAATTTGGGTATATTATGACATTAAGTCATCATTTGTGAAAAGCTTTTGTTCTTTATTTAACCTGATCTTTTTCGAAGAATTTCGAATTAGCTAAATAGTAATTTCGGTGGGAAAAATCAAACCTTTCCCATGAGTAAATGACGTTTTAAATACGTTTAATAATAGCAATGTAAGAAGCATTTTTTAAGAGTCTATGATTTTTGGTCACAATGCTATCTTTTAAGTTTTCTTACTTTCCTATCTTGTATATAAATAATATTGGCACACGTTTGACGAACAGTCAACTGCCTGTCGCCTAATTTCATGCAACTGAGATGCCTATGGCTTGTACGGTCATTCTCACCTGAAGCTCGTCAAAATAACATTCCGCAGGATCAAAATTGACAACAGGTAAAGACATCGTTGGAAAAGGCTTCATGTGATATACACAATTCTTGGTTGAATCAACCGCTTGATGACGTCTGGGATTTAATCTTTCGTGGAGTAAGATTGTTACATCGTAATCTTCTAACGATGGGCGGAATATTAACTAAAATTAAAGATCAGAGGCAAACTATCAATTCATTGTAAAAAACGTCTACGCTACTTACAAAACGAGATTGCAATCTTCCTCGCCAGTCAATGATACTTTCTACCCAGTAAAGATGCTAGAATTATACTGATTGAGCGCATCGCATTCTTTCCAGTAAACTATTACATAATTTGAAAATACAACGAGAAAACGTTGCACCAATGAGTGCCCTCAAAAAAATTTTAGTCCTTTTGTGGATCTATCGTGAAAATAGACACTTTGGCCGTATGAAAATATGAACTAACCAATTTTCTGATTTAAGACTGCACCTTAAACGTGGTATGCAGGGGTAATGCTTACTAATACCTTGCCTAAATTTTAAACTGCCCTTTTTCTCGAAATACGATGCATAGTCGGTATATCTGACACAAAAATGTTATGCTACATGATTCTATACATTAATATGAACCCCAGTTCGATCGTGCCATGAAACTGGAAAGAAGGGAAATTTGAGCAATTATAAATCGCCCAGACTCTTATTTCTATGAGCAGAACCGGCGCGCAGAAGTCGCCGTAAGTAACCCTCCTTGAAAAAGTCCTCAACAGATAAAAATAAGTTAATAGCATGGAATTCATACCTTGAAATCGTCAGTGCTGCTTTCAGAGTGCAACAACGTATTTTGAAGGACAGAATATGACTGTTTCGCTAACACAGTGACACGGTTTAGAATCTATAATGGAAACAAACGATCATGACCATAGGTAAAAATAGAAGGGATGAAGGGATGAAGTTACAGCTTTGGAGCTTACCAAAGAAAAGAAAATCCCATAGTTAAGAATACTAAGGTTTAATCAAAGTTATAACTTACCATTGAGCAAGGACTTTTTCTTGTCCAATACGAAGAAAATTTATCCTCCGGTGTGGCAATTACCATAGCTGGCAACCTGTTCCTGTTGTTAGTGAAATGCGATTGTATTTCCTGACAATCTACGGCTGTAAATTGAAATAATTGACGATATAATTTCGCTTTCATTCTTTTTAAAGTAGCATTATAAAAGCCACTGTTCTCTATAGATAACGATGTTATGGTATACCTTTTAACGAATCGTTGAAATTCAGTATCATTGTACTGTTTTTCCAATCGAACGTCGACAAGAGATAAAGGAACCTTACAAAACCCGTAGTTGGAGATCTAAAGAAATTCGAAGCAAGATAGAATATAAAACTGAACTAAAATACATGCGGGATAAGAGAAACTTAAACAGTGTATCCATACTCCTGTAATTTTGGACTGTAGCATGCTACCACCTGCCTCACTCAAGAGAAAGGGGTGAATTCAAATGGCAAATACTATAAAACATCCCAAATGTTGCATGCCTATTCTTTTAAATGCCATTCAATGAAGACTGTCATGCGCAAATGATATGCGACTGCTACATATTATCCGTGATCTGTTTTCGTTAACGGGCACAATACATGTATACTTCTATAGAATCTGTTGAGGCTCGTCATTAATCTATTCAAACACTTATTCACGATACTTACGCAGGCGTAGTGTAGGGAAATGGGTGAAGATATATATGAGCCATAATTAGTTCAATGCATTCTTCAGGAAAGTAGGACAACAACATGTGGGAAGAGACCCAGCGCTTGGCCAGTCGAACACTGCCACCAAAGGATGAATATTGTTGTTGAATTCTAAACAGCAAACGCACATTTAAATGGTAAGAGAGACACGAATAAAACATTGGTTTTTGCGTGTTTTTTTCCTACAATAAAAGACCACAAATTTTCTTATAAACACTGTTCACTTCCTATAACAGTTACAGCTTCATCACTGATTATAACAGTGACATGCAGCCTCTGTAATATTCTTGTAATTTTGCATGGTGATATTACAATATAAGTAAATTAGCTTATAGGCACCACGTAAGTATTTAGCACTGCCTTCATCAATGCAACTACTGGTGAACAATACGTATAGTTGTTCACAATTACCTGAGTTTCACAGTAGTTGCACCCGGGTTAACGAGCCGAAAGCTTTGCAGTATTAAATACTTACTTAGGATACCTACAAGCTACTTATATTCTGCAATGTTGGTGTGATAGATGTAATTCAGAGTGTTATTGCACACAAGCCTTTTTTGGGAGAGATGAAATTGCCTTCTTCACCAACTTCGCATTGCGATGACATACAAGTTCCTCGTGTCCTCTGCATTGTTAAACAATTTTCTTAGGAATGCCAAACTTACCCATGGATAATACTAGAGAGAAGTGGCAGATGCACTAGAATTCTCTCCAGTTCTTGTCCAGAATTCTCCATAACAGCCCCTGAATTTTCATTTCCTTCGCCGTTTTTCAACAACACCATTTCTCGATAGTGCGCTAACTTGACACGGAAAACGAAACCATCCTAAAGGCAAAAAGATGAAAAGCTTAAACGATAGACCACGAAGATGTCTTAGGTCTCTTTTTGAAAAGTATATACCTATATATACTTCAGGATCCCTCTCTGGATCCGGTATATTTTATACATGCATGCATGCATGCACGCTTCGGATGGAAAATAAAGTGCTGCTGACAATCGCTTTAAATAAATTTTCCAAAACACCGGCCAACCGAAACCCGAGTCTTGGTCGTGGAGCTGAACTGAGATTACATGTTCAATGTACACTATACCACATTTCATTCACATTTCTGCATAATCTCTATATGAGGTACGTTAGGTTATATCAAAATTTCAAAGCTTTCTTCTCTATAGCACTCACAGCGACATAGCTTTTATAATTTGCCAAATACATAGCTATAATTTTAATATGTATTTCCGATAAACAAACAAACTGTGTTTGATGTATCTTATATAAGCTCTAGCTGCGAAGTTGAGATGTCTGCCTCAAAGGAAACCAGCGGTCCCCTGGAATTGTTGAAAGAAAGGTTTTCACATTTCGTGACACCAGAAAGCAGACAGAATGGCTTAAATTTCGCTCCTCGAACAACTGATGTGATTATAAATACCCCATCAAAATGTGGCACGACTTGGATGCAACAGATTGTTCATCAGCTAAGAAGCGGTGGCGACATGAGCTTTACAGATATCGATGAAGTCGTTCCGTGGCTCGAATTTGCTCACGACCTCGAACAAGACCTCGATGCAGAACAACAATATCAGCCGCGGTGTTTCACCTCTCACATTTGGGAGGAAAGCTGTCCGAAAGGAGGAAAATACATTGCTGTCTATCGCGAGCCTTGTGCCTCATTCTACAGCGCATTCAATTTCTACCAAGGTATATTCTTCCAAAAAGGGGAAATTTCTTTGCACGAATACGTACACAGCATGCAATTGTCCCGGTGGCAACATAGCTATCCGAACTACTTCAAGCATTTGCTGAGCTGGTGGCCAAGACGAAATGACGCTAACGTGTTGTTCCTTTTCTACGAAGACATGTTGGAAGATTTGGAAAGCGCAGTTAGAGCGGTTGCATCCCTCATGGAAATCGATGATGAAGCATGCATAATGAATGCTGTGAAGATGAGCAAATTCGAATTCATGAAGGAAAACCAAGACAAGTTCTCGTCTCGTCGTGCAACGCGTTATCGTCTTCCAAAGATGGGATTACCAGATAATGTTTCGTGGAAACGCGTTGCAACAGGATCAGCAACAAAGGGACGTGATCTCATGGACGACTGCACCAGAAAAGCAGTTCAGAGAATGTGGTCTGAGGTGGTCACAAAAGAGATCGCTTTCAAAGATTATAACGAGTTGAGAAGTGCTTTAAAGAAAGAAAAACAATTTTCCTTGTAAAACCATTCCAGCGAAGTAAAAACGTTGTCGCTAAACTCTGTGAATTTTATTTATGAAATACTTATAGGCCCTTAGCTTATATATCTGTGACTTTTGCTTTTTTGAGATATATTAAACCCATGTGGAAAAATATGGAAGTAAACAACGATATTACTGAAATAAATCCTTCCTTTGATCAATAAATTTCTCGCGTATGTGAAATTCAAAATGAAATTTAGGGGATTCAATGTAATTAGTGAGCTCTAACGGAACTGGAACGATAATCCAGGGCCATGTCTTGCCAATCAATCGCCCCTACCCGGAAGTTTTTTTTGCAAGCGATAATAGGTCTCAAATAACCGCGAGTCTCGAAGCTCTGTTGTGGGGAGAAAATTACATTGACCATATGCACACGGATAATATATATATATATATATATATATATATATATATATATATATATATATATATATATATATATATATATATATATATATATATTATGTGTTTGATATATACCATATTTCATGCACATTTTTGATCTGAATCGAAGTGTTTTACAAGCTAACTAAAGTGGGACGTAGTTCACCAGTTATTGGAGGTAAACGATATATTATGTTCACAGACACGTTTGATTACATCAAAATTGATTTAAATGATTCTCTGTTATGATTGACATGTTCTCAGTTAGTTCCCAGTACATGAATAAAGTTAAATTTAAAAAAAAGGGTAGATGTATCATGGGAAATTGCAGTAAATAGCTAAGTACAATTAAAATAATTTTGACATGCTATTAAGAATTCTGTATGTCATTGCAAGAATGAAATCACACTATTACAGAACCCCGTATTTCAATAATATCGCCCTTATCATCTACGAATGCATATTTATAAAGTCGTATATTTAAAGCCGTTGCTTTTGCCAGCTTTTTGTGTAAAATACATTGATATGATACGAAACTGTCTTATATAAAATTCAAAGTATATAATATATTCATTGACTCCACAGAAAGCTCAATATATTTTATGTTTATATGTCTGCGTGTCAATATCTTTGCAAGACATCATGCAGCATCTATATGCTATATTTCATAATTTAATCTAAATGTAAAGCAAAATCAACAGTATAGCATAGCTTGAAGATTTAGACCCGTTTAAGACGGCGTATAGTTTTCGTGTGCCGAATCGAATACACACAAACAAAGATTCATTAAAGTGCCTATGAGTACATCATGGTTGCGGGTTTTGAATATATCTGTTACGCAAGGCTTTATCATGTTAAGTTATATGCATATAAAAATAGCTGTAAAGATAGGAAAGATAGGATTTTTGGCCCGACTCGCGATCATTGGTTACTTCTCATTTCATGCATGACATTTCGTGGGATCGAATAAAGTAGTAAGGTGAGAACATCAATCGCCCTGTCAGAACGTGCCCATCTGGATCAACAGTCGTATGTCATTGCCAAGTTTAACTGTTGCATTTAAAAATATGCATGTTTTAGGCAGCTGCAAAGTTCTCATGCACGGTCGAGCATTTTAGGCATTACGTCAGGGAAAGCTTAATTCGATTAAAATAGTAGTATATGTAGTTAAGTCGTAAAATAAGTTTCACAGAAGCAATGTTTGATAATTTTAATAGTTGTTGATGATAAATATTTTAAGTTGTGAACATTTTTAAGTATTGATCGATTGAGGAGAAGACCAACTCGACTAGTGCAACAACGCCTTATGCCTGGTTTCCATTTAGTCGTGAGTGTCGTGAACATGTCAAGGTGGCTGATGTGATAGAATATTATACTATACGTGTGCAGTCAACAAGGACAGATTTGAATACAGGAATGAGAACGAATTTACATCCCGACAATTTCTCATCGGCGAAAATGACATGTTCACGACAATTACGACTAAATGGAAACCAGGCTTTAAACAAACAAGATATGAGAGCTGGAACGAGCTTCTAACGCCAACTCACATTTCTAACTTACAACGCTGATTGGTTGGGTAAGAATCAGCCCACTCTGGTTTATGACGTGTGCAAGTTTCCCTCAACCGTTACTATAAAAGGGCGTATACACAACACCCGAACCTTCAGTGGACTAGCGGAGTAAAACTCGTGTGAAACGTTAGAGAAACGTTACAGAAACAACGATAAAGACAAGAACACAAAACGACGAAGATCAAAAAGAAGAGAAGAGAAAGAGCGAATCAAGAAAATATCATTAAGAACATTAATTATTGTAAAGATCTCCTACCTCGCGTAAATAGAAAATAAAGACTCATAACATATATAATATCCAAAGTTTAAGTCTTCCCTCTCTCGTGTGTTTAGCTCTCGTGTGCGGCGGACTTTAGGGGCTGTTGACATGACCTGGTTACCCGAGATTCAACACTATGGATTCAACGAAGCATGAGATGATTTTGAGTTGGTCTTAATGAAACAAAACAAGTATGATATAGAATGAATACACACACGACTGCCAGGATCATGTTATATACTCATTTCAATACCATACACAAAGTTATTCCAAGCCTCGTTCAACCTCGGCTAAATCATTAGCCTAGCTACGCCACTGAAAAATGAAGATTCTCTGAGTAAGAGTCATCATAAATCATAAAAACCTCATCCTTTGCATTATTTAAGTGCATTTTTCACTCTTTCAGACCAAGGGCGAAAGACTAAGAAATAGTTAATTGAATCGCAAGCTATATAGTGGAAAGCCCTGGAAATGCTGAAACGGAATTGGTCAGGTTTGATGACACCAGAAAGCAGGCAGAATGGTTTAGATTTCACTCCACGACCAACTGACGTGATCATAAGCACCCCATCAAAATGTGGCACGACTTGGATGCAACAAATCGTCCATCAGTTAAGAAGCGGTGGCGATATGAGCTTTTCAGATATCGATGACGTCGTCCCATGGCTCGAATTAGCTCACGATCTCGAACAAGATCTCGATGCAGAACACCAATATCAGCCGCGGTGTTTCACAACTCATTTTTGGCAGAAGATATGCCCCAAAGGAGGGAGATACATCTCAGTCTTTCGCGAGCCCTGTGCCGCGTTCTACAGTTCCTTTAATTTCTTTCAAGGGGTATTCTTTCCACACGGGCAAATACCCCTAGACGAATTTGTCAACAAGATGAAACTCTCAGGAACGAGACATAGCTATCCGAATTACTTCGAGCACTTACTCAGCTGGTGGGCAAAACGAAATGACCCTAACGTGCTGTTTGTTTTGTACGAAGACATGTTGGAAGATTTGGAAAGCGCAGTTAGAGCCGTTGCATCTTTCATGGGGATTGATGATGAAGCACGCATAACGAATGCTGTAGAAATGAGCAAATTTGATTTCATGAAACAAAACGAAGACAAGTTCTCGTCTCGTCGTATGTCGAACTACGTCTTAGGAAGATAGGATTACCTGAAAGCACTTCATTGAAGCGCGTTGCGACAGGATCTACGACAAAAGGACGAAAATTGATGGACGATTGCACCAAACAAGCCGTTCAAAAGAAGTGGTCCGAGATAGTCACAAGGGAAATCGGGTTCAAAGATTATAACGAGTTGAGAAGCGCGTTGAAGAAAGAAAAACAGTCTTCCTTGTGAAGAAATTAGTTGAATATATAAAATAATTGTACAATTTGAGTAGATTATTACGCTGAACATTTAAAAGGTCCTCAAAATTTTGTGTTCTGAACCTTTGTTCACAACAATTTTCTGCCACAAATGCAAAGTCACTTTGGCTGAAACAATATTTGCACAAATTCCACTCCATCGCCCACTTTAAATGAAGTAGTCTGCACGTTCTTGGTTTTTCGCGCTCATTTTTGATCATTTATATTACCCAATTATTTCTATAAATTGATGTTCAAATTTCCCGCCATATTTTGCTAAATTCGGCGCACGCGCAAACCAGGCAGATAGTTAATTTATGAACTAGCAGCTGGTCAAACAATATTCCGTCAAAGACAACTGGAGGTATGAAGTATGACCTTTGAGTGAGTGACGCAAATCGTGGGGGGGGTCTATTCATATATTCATCTTATGCCCAACTGATTTCTTTTGTACGCTATTGATCCTACGGTATATAAACATGAATATATGAGTATACACTCCCCCCCCCCCAAATTAACTCCGGTTTAGCTACGGCCCTGGGCTCAGGTCAGACGATGAAACACTCTGGTGGAACAGTGGTGGATCCAGGGTTAATTTTAACTCCAAATAACTATATTATGGTTAGTGGTTAATTCATTTCTAAAGAATACTTTTGAAAAAATCTACCAATGTTATTGCAAGTTAGAGCTGCCTACATTTTTTCTATCTTGCCCTCGATATGTCAATGCTCTGGCTGAGGTGTTTGTAACGAATATATTTGAATATCATAATAAGCTGCAAATATCTCATTACTGTAGTTTTCTGAAAAATTGCCGGCTAAGTTTATAATACGATCATCACCCGCCGAAAAGAATTCCTAGAAAAAAATACTCACCTTGAGAACATCAACATGTTGTGTGGTTGCTACAGCAGAAAGACGATGATCATTCTTCAGAATACTCGCAATATTCAGAAGGAATGCTGCCTTTATCCTCTGAATTGCCTCAAGGTCATCTGGCCACTGACCGCTCGTTTCGAACTGGATTAATACTGAAAGTCGATGAAAAAATAAGTTATTAGGAAATACCCATTCATGCAGTTGAGGGAAGCAGTGATCTGAGAATGAAGGGAGAGATGAATTGAGAGCTCACAAACCTTGATTGGGAAACGAGCAAAAAAATTAAAACAAGCCAAATAGATTTCAAAGTCCTCATCTCTTTTTTTTGACGCCTAGCCTGTCTTTTGCAATAAAGCCGTTTGACAATGCGTTGATGATTAAGTATTATACAAACGCAGATTATTATGAAAAAAGCATCGAAAAAAAGTATCCTGCAAAATTTGTAATTCAAATTAATACTCCAAATTGATGTGAAAGTTATCATTTCTTTTTTTTTGGCGAGCCTAGCGTGTCTTTCCTGATGAAACCGATTGACAATAGTTTGATGATGAAGTATAATACGAACGCAGATATTTATCGAGTGCAAGCCTCTCAAGTGAAGTCTCACCTTCATTCGCGGGACACCAAGGTGGACATTTCTCAGTGGATACAGGTAAGGTTGTCCTCTTAAGACTATCATGTTCAGCATTTTCTCGTACGCTCATTGGCACTGCAGGAAAAACCTAAACAGGATATTAATCGTAATCATGATTTAACTATCTGAGATTATACCAAATTCACTACGAGATGCACGTTTATTATGAAATTGGGACCCTCGGATGACCTCCATAACAAACTCCTAAATGCAAACGGCAAGCCGCGATTAAAATTAAACCTCGGCAGCTTAATTTACGTTTGAGGGAATGAGGGAAGCCTGATCAGCAACGAAAAACGCATGTGGGCTATTCTTAGCCCACAATCAGGCGTCTTTTTGGCAATGCAATGTATTCCAAATTGCTTTGATTTTTTGTTTTTATATATTGGCCCATTTTTATCACGTGTTTTGCCCTCATACAAAACATGTATCCTCCCCTATTGATTTTCATACTAATTCTCCTGACGAAGGCCCTCAGGTCGAACCGCGAGAAGTGTTTTGTCTATTTTAGGCAGTTGTTATACCACATTAAATGCTAAAATATTTTCGTGAATGTACATTTCGTTAATGGAGCGGTTTTTCACCAGCATTGTTTCACGCGCGAAGAAAATTCATTCAACTGCCTTTGGGCAATGTGTCCAAAAATGGGTGCGGACGTAAGCTCTTTAAAAAAATCGCTTGGTGGAGTGAGAGGGGCTTTCATCTGGTCAGAGCCTCTGTATATAACGAAGCGATTGCGATTGGTCAAGTCACTTGAGTATGCAATATCAACAACCACATACTGTACATACTAGTAGCCAAGATATATGTTTCGCTTAAATAGGAATGGTTCACTTACTTCAGTTCCACGTAACACAGGAGACAACCCTTGAATGGAGTGAACGGCGAGGGGCAGATCTAACTGACGCAGTAGTTTAACTAAAGATTCATAGCTTCGTATGACTGCTTGGATCGCTTCTTCACCGGTGCCGTTTTCAAAATGCTTGTCGTTCTTTTTGTTGGAAGAAGTTAGTTTGACCTTTTGTTTCAACAAAGAATCCAAACCGTCCGAGGTGAAGAGAATATTCGAAGGATCGATACAGCCATGGCTGGAAAGATGAAAGACAGAAATAGAAAAGGATTCACGGCTTACATTTTCAGTAACCCAATCAGAATGCATAAATCTTGACTAAAATGGTACATAATATTTACATGGAGTATTGAAAACTTAGGCATTATGATTGGTTTGTCCTGACAGCTTTGTCTCATTGACTACGAGTTTTGCCCATTGACTATGCTCTATTCCACTAATACATCGCAATGACGGATAAATCTCCTACCTGTGAAGGATGTATTTTATAATATTTTGGCAAATCTTTCGTTTGTCGCATGCATTTTCACAATCCCAAACAACAGCCTCGGAAATAGTGCCATCTTGAAATCTACGAAGTTCAGATTTTTCGCCCCAGAACTCACGAAACTCCTTTGCCTGGAAAAGTTATCAAACTGTAAGTTATATCAGGAAAAAAGGAAAACTAGGAAAAACTAAAAAAATTCGAGAAGAACATTATTTTCTATACCTCGGCATTGTCTGCATTTGGTCCCTTTTGCAAGACGCTGTGAGCGGCATCTGTATTCAAATGGTATCCAACAACAATGGAACATTCGCTTAATGAAGGCGGCTCTTGTTTTAATGTCCACTAAATTAAATTAAAACTAGAAGTAATCAAGGATTAGCAAGTGCGTTCAGTGATCGGATTTCTCATTGTTGAAACACTGGAAGATAGATTCCTGATACTTTGATATCCTCACTGATATTTTAAACAATTCAAAATAAAAATAATCTATATACAATTCCTACAACTTCTTAATGAAACAGGCGAATACGAAAGCCCAATTGCCCGGTCCTAACTCCCAAACAATAAGAAAATACGGAAAGCACGTGAAATTAGGACGCAACACGAAATCCGGCAGGCAAAGCAAACGCAAAAACACAAAAAGCGAGGCAAATGCCACAACACAAAAATCTCAAAACGACATAGCATCCAACCGTGATGCCACGATTAGGAAGAGTTCTCCTTCGTCGAACGCAATAAACCCGCTAACCAATGAATTTTTCTAGTTTAGCACTTCCTAGTTTAGCAGGGAAATAGTCCATTGCTGAAACCAAACTGCAGTTACCGTATGTGACGTAAAATGCAGTCGAAAATAGTCAAGAAATCACCCTCAATCATTTAATTGCAAGGCATGAGGACACCGATTTTAAACTGGCTTTAATTTCAAACGTACCTCGGGAAAACTTATTGGCCAAACGAAAAGCATGTCAATTCGTTCTCCGAGAGCCTTTAAGAGAAGGGTTTCGAGCCAAGACAAGCCCACCCGTAACCAGTCCCCTGAGAAATCGAGCAATTCAGAATTAAGCTGCTTCTTCTTCACCTCATTCTTTAACTCATCAACATCTTTCAGCCTTAAAAAATAGAAAAAATCTATGATGCCTTATGCAACTACTACAATATCCTCCAATTAATGTTTCTTCACTATTCACACATATTTCTACGATAATAATATATAATTTCAAAGTGGAAGTGAAGTCCGTAGGTAGAAAAACGGTTTGTTTATATTTTGTTTGTTTTGTATATACTTTTTGAAATACGTTGTGTTGTCTGAGAATCTAACGTTTAGGTTCGATGCCTTAAAATGAATTTGAACTAGTGTTTTTGATGAGAAAAATTCAAAAAGTGCGAAATTTGGGCAAAAATTTTATCTGAGGGCAAAAATTTTACTCCACATTGTTATGAAAAGCACGGCTTCACTTCCACTTTAACTACATGACATCCAGTTTTCATGGTTTTACTCACCGGAAGAAGCCGTCATATCTTGTGACCAGCGGCATGCTTTTCATAAACAAAAGATGAAAACTGTCAACAAATTCGTCTTGAAGGATATCCAACGCGCGCCTTGATTCCACTTGTAGCTATGTGGTTGAAAAATATGAAGAAAATAAGAATCGATATAAGCTCTTTCAATTCGCCATAAGAAAAAAGATGGCACCACGTCGGGTTTGTGTTTGTGTTATTTCGTTATTTTCGTTTTGTGAAGAGCAATGTCGAACCGATAAGAACAAAATTCTACAGTTATGATGGAAAGGCGACGAGACCCCTACTTCTAACCATAAATATATGTAAAATTATAGCACGGACCATAAAACTGAAAACAAACCTGCTGAAATGTCGTTTTTGACGAATTAGCTAGCAAGTTCAGCACTCCAGAGGGGTCGACAAAAACTACTTCAAAACTACCATGAAAATCCGTTATCGATGGCTGCAAAAATAGAAAAATAAAAATTGTTGAACTTCATGCTACGTCCTATAATATTTTTTAACGTGATTCGCAATCGATCTATTCTAACCATTCGTTCGTCGTCAGAGGTACTTCCTTCTACCATCGAAACGCCTTTTGTTGTTAAATCACTAGTTGCTATAAAATTGACAGAAAGTATTCTTTATAAACATACTTTGTTGCAAATGGCCTTTTGCAGAAAGAGCAATGTTCTTTATGGGAACAAAGTACGAAAATCTATCACAACAGCTTGAAAGAGCACCCAAACTTATAAAGTTCGGTTGTGAATCATATAGGATAACTCGTGACTTAAAAACCAGAGCTAGGCAAAACTACCCCCATTTGAATAACATATAGTTGTACAGATAATCTCATGCACTGTGGGTGTTTTCTTTAAAAAGGATGGAAGGAAAGGAGAAAGAGCTTTTATGTCTAATGTATACTCATGAATATTCAAAAAATATTCATGATCAAAGCTCTTCCTCAAAATGTACACAACCCATACGAAACATGATAAACACTTTCGTGGTAAGTATACCTAGGAATTGCCAGAAAATTCTGATGATCTGATAAGAGCTCATGTGTGGACTGATTTGATGTTTCTGCAGTAAATATGCCACGACCATAGCACAATGAAAACCACTGAATCCTTGAAGTCCCTAAAATAAAAACAAAACTTTTTACCAACTATTTATAAAACAAATTATTTATGAAAAAAGTGTTTTTCAACAAGGGGTATCACTGCTTTAATGAAATTGCCACATTTAAATTATTTATTTATATGTACTATTCTACGTTCCATAAAGGTTTCCAGACCGCCTTTTAGATTAATTTGGAATGAACGAAAAAAACTGAATGTATGGCTGGCTCATTTGCATTCCCGCCACTCATCAAAATACTGCAAAGTTTTCAAAGCAACCTTGCACTAAAATGTTCTGGAGACGGAAATGCCGTAAAACAAGTTAAAATGAGGTCGTGACCAAGGCCCCAGATACATAATACCGCGGATTAGTAGCGAACCGGATTACTTTCCATATCAGACAGGCGTTGCGGTTACACGAGATGTTCCGGTGCGCTCCATGGAATGAAAATCACTCCACTCTGGAGGTGACATGAAAATGATTCGGTACATTTCTATTTCCGTACTTGTAATCGCTCTAATCCGGGAAGTAATATGTTTGGAGGGAAAAATAAATGGACATCAAACGCTTGCAAAGGTAGCCGATTCCAAAAGAAGTTCCATTTCACTGTCTGTCCGCAAGAACTTTCTTTTGGGCTTTTTGCATGCTCTTCGTTGCCCGTCATTTTGTTTATCTTTTGAATCAATCCGATATCGTGTAATCGAGACAAATCCGATACCATATGTGTATCGAAACGACGTAGATAATCCAATACGAAATCGTGTATCGGGTAACTAGGCTATACATACGAATATTTTTGTCTATTATGCTGTTTAGACGCCCACACGTGAGGAAAAATATGCCCAATCTGTTAAGTTAAGGCCATGTTACACGGTGCAAATTTTCTTGCAACTTGCAATGCAATTCTACTTTTAAGAGATGCAAATTAGTGAAGAGTCTTCAAAATGTAAGTGTAAGAAACGACATGGAGTGTAATAAAGACAAAAGTTTGGTAGTTGCCAAATTTACATCTCTCAAAAGAATTGCATTGCAAGTTGCAGGAAATATTGCACCGTATAACAGGATTTTTAGCTTCATCTTCTATTGTAAATATGTCGGCGGTTGAAATCGTTTTGGGATGAAAACGAATGTAAAACGCTCGAAAACGTTACCGTGTGCATATAGCTTTAGACCACGCTTACATGCACTATATCGGATTCACATGGTGACGAAATCGTTCTTAAACGGCTAGTTTTGAGGTCGTGACCACACGAATGCGGTATAATGTAAACAGGGCCTTAGTAATAAATTATAGTGATCAAAGGTTGCAAACATTTTACTGATTGGTTTTTGTTTTTTGCTTAGTAAAACTTATAACGAATATCTCAAACAATTGCTTTTCAGCCTGCCGACCGTGCATACTCATGCAGAATACGACCATGCAGTAGCATCGTATTTAATGATGAATGTTTACTGCTATAGCATGCTAAATGTTGTCTGTTGTTCAACAATTAGGCGATATATAAAACCGTACCAGGCTTTGTGTTGGATTTTGGCCATAGCTATGGGCTACATACGAGGAAAAACATATCGTTGAAGGAATTCTTAGAAAATCTAAGGAAATTAGTTGGAAATAAAATATCTAATAACAAAACACTATACTGCAATGGCGTTGTTAACCTTTTCTAGATTTCTTTCCTCGCGACGGCTTCCGAGATCATCTCTTACCGTCTGGTGTCGTGGTTTATCTGCCGTGGCAGCGTCGAAGCAAAGCAAAGTGTTGCCGTTTTCTTCAATACCTGGCCCGAACGGAACACTCCGAAACATTCTGGGCTATGCACTTGGTAAAGGTTCGCATTTTGAAATCGTATCAAAACGTTTTGAAAAATTCGGCCCGATATACAAAGAGCAACTACTGGATATGCGAATTGTAAACATAGCCGATGCCAGGACGGTGGAGAAAGTCCTTCGTACCGACCAGAAATTTCAGATGCGACCTGGCTTTGAGGCGGTTGACGAGATCATCGACGAAATTTGTGAAGGCGGTGAAGGTTTTAAGATTACTTCAAACAATTACGACGAATGGCAACCACTTCGCGCTCTGGTATCTCCTCGACTTTTGCGCCCGAAAGAGGTAAAGAAGCAATTCCCTCTGCTGAACAGCGTTGCGAATGACTTTATCAAGCGATTAAACCATCTCAGAGAACATGACGGGACAGTAAGAAATCTTGAAGACGAATTAACGTTTTGGTCCATTGAATCAGCCGCTGCGTTTTTGTTTAATCATCGTCTTCGTTTCTACGATCACCCTCCGGATCCTACAGCAGTCGAGTTTACCGAAGCAGCCATGAAAATGTTGAGCAGTATGACTAAGATTCTCCACAGTGGTCCATTTCATAAATACACACGAGCCGGTGATGCATTTAAGACAAGCGTAGTTACAATGCACAATACCTATTTGAAGATTTACGATAGGTTTGGGGCGAGCGGAGTGCAAGCCAAAACCGACATGAGGCAAAAACAAACGTTTCATCAATACCTTTCATCTCAGGGGAAAGCACCGCACGAGATCGTGTGGGTGATCAGTGGATTAATGGCTGGCGGGATTGAAACAACAAGCACTACATGTCTTTGGCTTCTCTATCAACTGGCCCAGCATCAGGAAATCCAGGAAAGACTCTACCAGGAATTAGTGTCTTCCCTTGCCCCGGACGAGAAAATCTCAGCTGACAAGATTCCATTGTATCTCAAAGCAGCTCTGAAAGAATCGCAACGAATATACCCAGCCGCCTCCGTGGTTCCTCGTGCGTTTGACAAAGACATCGAGCTTCATGGATATCACATCCCAGCAGGCGTGAATATATTCATCCAGAATCATCTGCTATCAGTCAATAAGGATTGTCATGGTGAAGATGCGAATGAATTTGAACCGGAGCGATGGATGCGGGACGTTGTAACGGGAAAGAAACATAAGATAAATCCTTTCGGCTCGTTGCCATTCGGTCACGGCGCAAGAATGTGTCTAGGTAAGCGAATAGCTGAAGCGACGATCTACACTTTGGTAAGCAAAATATTACTCAGCTACCGTTTGGAATACGCTGATGAAAAGGAAGTGAAAAGAAGTCTTATTGGCGGAATAATGAGACCAGATACACCAATCCGGCTCACGTTTAAACGAAGATAGAAAATTCTCATGAATTTTTAAACACTATCTAGGATAATTATAACGATCAGATTAAATGTAGAAAAGGTTCTAACCTACATTGTAGTCCTACTCCATTTTTGATGGCGAGTTAAAGTTGAGTAAACAAATGTAGAATGCAAGTGAGTTTGTAGAGCACTAGAAATAACACTTTCGCCTGTGATCGAATAAACAGATTCGTAATGGTCTGGGGGTTTATGGCAGTCAGTTGATTCAACACTTGCCGCTCAAGATTCACAATATTAAGGCCCGTTTACACTTGCAATTATTGCTCTGAGTTAATGTGCGTTTTTCTCCTTTTGGAAGATGTAAATGAGTAATAAGTTACGAATGCTCTGATGTGTACAGTACGCGAGCTCCTATATGAACACCCGTAACTAATTCACTCGTCCGCATCTATAAAAAAATCGCAGCAAAAATTGCGAATGTGAACGGGTCTTCAGAAGAGTGAAATAGGACAAAACTATAACTTTGTTAAATAAAAAAACAACAACAAAACAAAACCGGGGCGAATTTTCAACTCCGTCGCTGACGCCGGAGTAATAATATATATTTAGAAAATAATGCATGGTTGAACGCATATGCACTTTACTAATTTTACACGTTTCTCGTTTTTTTCCTTAGAAATAGGACTTATATTAGGACCAATATCTCAAGTATTGCTTTTGAGCCTGCCAAGTGTCTATATACTCAGAATACGACTTGTAGCATCGTATTTAACAATCAATTGTTATTGTTAACTTTTGTCTGTTGCTCAAATATATAGGCTATTATACATATAAAGCGATATAACCGTATATCAGGCTTTGTGTTGAATTTTGGGTATAGATGCCCTAAAACAAGTTAAACTGATGACGTACCCATGTTAATCCGGAACAGTGTAGCAAGGGTCTATATATAAGTAATGATATACTTATAAAGTAACGCATGTTTACACGCATATATATTTTGATTAATCTAATTTTACACGGTTATTCATTTTTCCCCACAAGCATTGCTTTTGAGCCTGTCAAGCGTCCATATACTCAGAATACGACCAGTATAGCATCGTATTTAAGAATCAATGTTTACTGTTAAATGTGTTTCTGTTGTTCAAGTATAATTAGCTTATTATAAAGCGATAAAACCGTACCAGGCTTCGTGTTAGATTTTGACCCTAGCTATGGGCTATACATATAAGGAAAAACTTATCGTTGAAGGAATTATTTGGAAATCTAAGGAAATTATTGCGGAAATTACACCAACAAATAAAATATCTTTGAAAAAAACACTATAGCAATGGCGTTAATCTTTTCTAGATTTCTTTTCTCCCGACGGCTTCCGAGATCATCTCTTACCGTCTGGTACCGCGGTTCATCTGCCGTGGCTGCGTCGAAGCAAAGCTGCCGTTTTCTTCAATACCTGGCCCAAACGGAACATTCCGAAACATTCTGGGCTATTCACTTGGCCAAGGTTCGCATTTTGAAATCGTATCAAAATGTTTTGAAAAATTCGGCCCAATATACAAAGAGAAATTACTGGATATGCGAATTGTAAACATAGCCGATGCCAGGACGGTGGAGAAAGTCCTTTGTACCGACCAGAAAATTCAGATGCGACCTGGCTTTGAGGCCGTTGACGAGATTATAGACGAAATTTGTGAAGACGGTGAAGGTTTTAAGATTACGTCAAACAATTACGACGAATGGCAACCACATCGGGCTCTGGTATCTCCTCGACTTTTCAGCCCGAAAGAGGTAAAGAAGCAATTGCCTCTGCTGAACAGCGTATAGCGAAGGACTTTATGAAGCGATTAAACCATCTCAGAGAACATGACGAGACAGTAAGAAATCTTGAAGACGAATTAACGTTTTGGTCCATTGAATCAGCCACTGCGTTTCTGTTTAATAATCGTCTTGGTTTCTACGACCACCCTCCGGATCCTACAGCAGTCGAGTTTACTGAAGCAGCCATGAAAATGTTGAGCAGTATGACTAAGATTCTCCACAGTGGTCCATTTCATAAATACACACGAGCTGGTGATGCGTTTAAGACAAGCTTAGTTAAAGTGCAAAAGACCTATTTGAAGATTTACGATAGGTTTCGGACGAGCGGAGACAACTGGCCCAGCATCAGGAAATCCAGGAAAGACTCCACCAGGAATTAGTGTCTTCCCCGAAAATATCGCTGAAAAATTGGCTTGTAACTGACGCGAGTGAGGCACCAGGCCGCCAACTTAGGTGGCTTTGAATTACTTTGAATTAGCTTTAAGTTATATGGAATCATTCGTTGGCATCAGCTATTATACAATAAAAACAACTTTTTAAATATGTACCTCGTCTAGATGTCGTTGACGTAACCAGATTTTGCACAACACAATGGCATCAATAAGAGACTGGTGCTGAGCCAATTTCCCGTAGAGAAAATGAAGATGTTTTTCCATTAACATGTCCGTTAAAATCGTAGCATTATAGTGTGGCGTTGCTGGTACGGGGTCTAAAGAATGTAAAAAAATAACAATGATTAAGAACAACTATAAGTTTTAATATTATTTGGGTATACATGGCAAATTATACAGGCCTGTTTACATTTACAATCTTTGCTGCGATTTTCTTCTTTTGATAGATGTGAACAAGTGAATTAGTTACGCATGTTCATATAAGAGCTCTTTTACATCAGAGCATTCGTAACTAATTACTCGTTCCGATCTATCAAAAGAAGAAAATCGCAAATAAAATCGAACCTAAAATTGCAAGTATAAACATAGGCGGCCCAAAATTAAGCGATATTTTTTCGCGCGAAAAATTTTTCGGCAATTTGCCAATGTAGTGTATAACATTACATTGACAAATTGCCGAAAAATTTTTCGCGCGAAAAAATATCGCGCAATTTTGGGCCGCCTATGGCATAAACGGGCCATATGATTTCAATTGTTACCATTGTTATAAATTTGATATGGAATATTGTATTAAGCTTTAGGTACACGCCGTTTAATTATACCTGCCGTTTCAACCATTCCGTTTTCTTGACCGAAGAACCAATTATATTGAAGATTGTTAATTTTAGGAGACATTCTTGCCAACTTAAAAGCATCGCTTCCAAGGGTTATAAAAATCTTGATGATTACCTTATCACCAACTTGTCCTGAAAAATTTTGAAATTTCAAGGGGTGATTATATGAGCCCGGTCACCCAAGATTACTTTGCTGGGATTACTATACAACTGCCATGATCTTGTCATATACTCATTTCTATACCTGAAAGTCATTTTGTTTATTTTAACAGCCAGCCCCAGGATGATGTAAAAATCTCCTTAAACTAATGCCTAGTAAACTGTAAGTATAATTCTAACCCAATATATGACATTTTATTACTACCCTTTAAAATTTTTATAATTACCTTTTGGTCTCAATAAAAGAATAGGTTTCCATAACTCTCCGTTGTGACAGGAAAATGCAACACTCTTGAAGAGCTTGCTCTTTTTAATAAATGAAGCAAGTATTGCCAAATATATACCCCTCTTGTAGTGATAGCGTAGATTAAGATGGTCTTTACTGTGAATTAAGCTCTATGAAGAATATTTGCAGTGGTAAATCATAAGTGGTGTTACAAATTACAATTGTACATGAATATGTCCACGCTACAAGTCAGCGGTCACTGCATCCAAAATGAAGCTATACAGGGTGTCTCAAAAAAACCCGAATCCATCTTTGGCACGTTATTGTGCATAAATTAATATGTAAACGAGCGTAATTTTTTTATATTAAGAAAGACCAGGCTTTTAGCTGTCGAATGACAGATTTTTCGTACCAAATGAAGAAAAAATGAGCGAATACGAGTTCAACGAAAAATATTGGTCAAAATCGCATTCTTTCACCTCAGAGAACTGACTGTAAACGTAAGTCTCTTGGGAATTAGGTTAGTCAATTAACTTTGCATATGCAGTTGCATACGCATAATTTTGTTATTGCAAAAATGGTTCAACTCACAACAGAACAACGAATATTTATTGTGAAAACATTTCATGAAACAGGAAGTTTGCAAAGAACTCGGGAGAGTTTCAGGCAACGTTTTCCTGAGCGGCAACCGCCTGCACTCTCAACAATTTGGTCAAATGTAAGAAAGTTTTCTGAACATGGCACAACACTAAACCGAAACAAGGGGAATTCTGGCAGAAGGCGCCCGGGGAGATCAGAAGCCAACATTGAGGTGGTCAGACAGCGGCTAGCTGATCATCCTACAGACACAAGCGCAAGACGGAATGGTGTTGGCCTACCACATGCCACGTTCAACCGCATAACGAGGTTAGATCTGAAAATGTACCCTTACAGCATGCACATCCGACATTAACTCCTTCCTCGAGACTATATATGCTCGGCGTTTGCAGTTTGCGCGATGGCTGGTTGACCGTTGCAGACGAAACGAAGAATTCCTGCGATCATTCGTTGTTGGAGACGAAGCTGGTTTTGCCATGAACGGCCAAGTTAACACCCACAACGTTAGGGAGTATGCTGCTCCAGGACAACCGCCCGCATTTAACTTCGAAATCAATTCTAGTCAACAAAAACTGACAGTTTGGATCGGACTTTGTGGCAACGGCCAGATAATTGGGCCATTTTTCTTTGACGGAAATGAAAGTGGATTAAACTATCTGCAAATGTTGAACAACGACGTGGTACCACAACGTCAACAAAATTTCCAGATGTAAAGGAGAGGAGCATTCCGAAATCTCTGGTGGGTGCAAGATGGAGCTCCGGCACACCGTTTATTAATTGCCGTCCGTGACCGTTTGAGAGAACTGTTTGGTCAACGTATCATTGCCCTCTACCATGACGTGGAATGGCCACTGCGATCCCCTGACCTTACCCCTTGCGACTTTTTCCATTGGGGATACCTGAAGAACAAGGTCTACACAACACCGCCGGTTGATCTCAACGATTTGCGGAACCGCACTCGTGACGAAGTTAACGCTTTGCAAAATAACCCACCGATTATCAGAAGAGCTGTCCAGGCAATGTTAAAACGATGTCAACTGTGCATCAAAAGAGACGGTGGTCATGTCGAAGATGTAGGAGCCTAATTAATGTTCTTAAGTTTAAATTGTAAATTAATCATCAATTAGTTTTGCAGTTTTGACACATCTGTGACTAATTGGTTATTCTTTTGTTTCTCAATGCATTAATCACGCGCGGAGGTGAAAGAATGCGATTTTGACCAATATTTTTCGTTGAACTCGGCGTATTCCCTCACTTTTCCTTTATTTGGTACGAAAAGTGTGTCATTTAACAGGTAAAAGCCTGATCTTTCTTAATTAATATAAAAAAATTACGCTCGTTTAACCTATAAATCAACGCACAATAACGTGCCAAAGATGGATTCGGGTTTCTTTTAGACACCCTGTATATGTATATATATATATATGGTGAACCCTTCAACATTTGTCTTCTCGTATATAACAACGCAAGATATATGTCATCTCTCCGAACAGTTGTAAACTATCATAGACAGCCCAAATTTGCATGACAATTTGTACATAAAAATTTTCATAAATTTGTCAATTTACATACAGAATGTAATAATGTATGTGATTATATCTTGATAAACTTCCAAAAACATTCTCCTGTATAAATTGTCATGCTGCCCATGGAACGGTATAGGTACTGAATTACCAAATTTAGGCTGCCCATGGAATGGTATAGGTACTAAATTACCAAATTTAGGCTGCCCATGGAACGGTATAGGTACTGAATTACCAAATTTAGGCTGCCCATGGAATGGCCGGTATAGGTACTGAATTACCAAAACCCGCCCAAATGCTAATAATTACTGCATTGGGATCAAACCAGAGATCTTTAAGTTCACCAGCCTAATATTTACTAGCCAGTGGACTGTGACGCAGGCTAAATATTTACCTATACCTAAGCTGAGCTCAGGTTGGTTGAAGTTGTAGCTGCATGTATTATTTCCTTCAATTAGTTTAAATATCAGTCAGGCAATCACTGAGAACATCAGTACAAGTTTGACAACCACTGTATTACATATACCTTGGGTAACTGGACTGCCAGGTCTATATTGATATATTGTTTACACAAAGTTCCAAGTTGGTAACTGCCAATAACATTTACAGATTCTGGTTTCTTAAAGATGAACTTTCCTTTTACTGGACCAGGCAAGGAAGGAAGGGGAATATGAACATTCTTTGGCAGCCAACTAAGATCACTGATCTGAAAACACAAATGATTTGATCTTTGTTACTGGTAATAGAAAAGGGAATTTGAATTGTTTTTGCATTGATAAGGAGGTTGACTCACATCCTGTTGTTCTCCATCCGGCAATGATGTTAACAATTCATTCAAAAGGTGCAATGTCTGCTCTAGCTTCTTTTTTCTCTTGCGAAGGCAAACCTCAGCAAGCAGTTCATTTATCTGCATGTGAAGTAAGCTGGAATGAAACAAGCTTTCGGTCTCTTTCAATGAGTTCAGTTCCTCTGAAGTAGGGGGTCGATACAAGCTTTCTTTGTTGTCAGAGTAATGAAATGCAGGCTTAACCTCATCCTCTTTGGTGGCCTGCAATAATGTAAGAAGTCCATTGTGTCAAATGGTTTTATTCACCATGAAAGAATGCATGAGTCTCAACCAACATACTTTGCACTACTATGTTTGCAGTTGCAACTATTTATCACAATTTTGGGGCCAGTGCTCGTAAATTCATGAAGCTCATGACAAATAAGACACATTCGTTAATTTGCATTTAGGAATTGGTTTACCTGCATAGCTACAGCATGCAAGTATGTCTACGACTACCTTCTAGGAACCATGAACAAATGAAATGCATTAAGTCTATCAGAATAACTAATATGAAAATTGTAAATGTAAACAAAAATTACTATGATATTAATAAAATAATTCCCTAAACTCAGGAATAAAATGCGAACATATTAACCCATTTGGCATTAGACACAGCATAATGCTAAGGCATAGGTGGCTCAATAAATAGTCAAATTCAGCTTTGTCATAATCAAGTTCACTACGGCCATCACTATAACAATCATCGGTGGGGCATTATTGGCCTACAATGAACATGTAACAGCAAGTAGCACATAAAATTTTATATAAGGACTAAAAAGACATCATCTTCACCTTGACCCTACTATCTGGCAATATTCCTTTCTTACATTTGATGGTGATATATCAGTCTATCACATACACTGCACTGTGTCTGCGCAAGTTCTTTCCCCTTAGGCATGGAGTTTAAATATGATTTATATGAACATGCAGATGAACAAAAACATGCATTCCTTTACCTAACAATCATCGAATTTCAAAATTATACGGTTCCATACCAATGAGATGTTTATTCATACCTTGTTGACGATTTCTAAATCGCTACTATCCTTCGATTTTCGCTTCATGATTTTCAAAAATAAAAAATCAACACACTATCCGATACATTCTCTGTTTACAAAATTTGCAACACACATCACACGTGGTCGCTCCAAGTGAGCCCACAATATGACCAGTCAGTGGGGAAAATTGATGACGTCACTAGTTAATCCAAATACTCGCGACGCATTCACTGATTCACTACTGCTACGTGTTAGTCAAAAATGAAGTTAAAAACTTAATGCGATTTGATGAATGCGATATTCAGAAAGGCTGTTTCCAGCGAAGATCGAAAACTATCAGCCTCGTACCCAGGCGCTTTAATAGTAAAATATATGTTGCATTCAGTTATAGCATAGAGGTCAGTTGAATTAAGGCGAGCGCACGGGGGTGCTTGGGATGACTTTTTTTTTAACTGACCTCTATACAATAACTGAGTACAACGTTATTTATTTTACTATTAAAGGAGGCTGGAAAACTATGCAGAGAGCTGTAGAGCTTGTGAGTTCGATAGCCCCAGTCAGAGGAGAAACGAGTGTATAATGTTGTCGGGAAAAGGTTGGATCATGGTTTGGAGGCCATTGTCCGGATGTCCGGAATACTTTGCAAAGAATCTATTGAGGCTATCCGTGTGATGAAATTGGATTATAAAGAGTACGCAGCTGAACATTTTGAGAACTTCAAGAGAGAGCACGAAGCAACCCATGATTTTCTGATGGATTTGAAGCAAACTTCAGGCCTTTTTGACTACCAGGCCGTTTTAAGTTATCTCTCTAACTGGGTTAATAATCACTGAGCGAGGACAATGAGACCAAATTGACATTTTTTAATTAGGTTTATTACTATACGCTATTAAAGTGTAATGTTCCGTCTACATTCAGTTAATAAAATTGGATCATTATTGTTCTCGTTTTACATCCAGATTAGGTTTTTTGTCTAAAAGTGATGTGTCAAAGTTTTCAATCGCATCCCATATTCTCGGTTGGGGAGTATCTTCAACTGTTACCTCAATTTCAACACGATGTCGATGTCTTCTTTCAACATAAATATATAAAACTCCTTTAACTTCTTCAAAGTCTCCTTTTGCCCGGTTCGTTGAGATTTTTCAGGCCCAAACTCCTATAATAAATATTATTCAATTTAGAAAGCAATGTCGCAGCAGACTGATCATGTTCTCAGATATGAGCACATGCTCATAACTACTTATGAGAACATACTCATTGATCGCATCGCGTAGCGACAGCGATCTATAGTTTCGGCTTTTTTTTTTATTATTTTTTTCCTCTCGGGTCGACCCCCAGCGTCGCTAGCTTCAGGCCATATCACCCTAATCGGGAACCTGCGCACAGGTAAGTTGCTAGTTATATCACGTGTTGTATTCACTTTGGGAATATTTCGTTTCACCTTCAATAAAGCGATCAAAATGCTATCTTTATCTTTACACTCATTACACATACAACTAACTGCACACGCCGAGCAGAGTAAGCCTACACTTAAGGATTTCAAGCAGTTTCAAAATGGGCTGTTGTGTGTTTCTCCTGCTTTCAACATGCGACTATACTTCGGTATATTGTTCATTTTTATTATTCAGAACATTTACGACACAAAATTTGCATAGCTGGGCTGGCTACACCGCTGTGAACGACGCGATCATATAACGCTTAGTAGGCGTCTTGTTTGCTCATAAAACTGCATTAATATTACTGCTCGATAACAAGGCATTTCCACACGTCTCGTGCTAAGGGAATGACCTGCCAATTTTGCGGAAGATACTTCAGCCGCGGTTACAATCAACGCAGACACGAACGGGAACACTGTCCACTACGAGAACAAGAAGGAAGCATGTCTCAAACAGACTCATACAGTCAAGAAAGGGATTTTTCAGACGATATCTCGACAACCTCCCCACACAGCAGTCTGGAAGTTCGACGGCGACTGCCTCAAAATCTGAAGAAGAAATGGATCCCCGGATATCGTTAATAGAAAAAGCAAAACAAAGAAGTAATACAGCTTTCGAAAAAATGAAAGAAAACCCTATAAACAGAGTTTTCGATTAGCACTCCGCTAGAGAGAAAGCTTATACTTGAATGTTATGCCTAGCATTAAGAAATAATAAGAAAATATCTATTTCAAGCGCCTCGGATAAGAAAAGAAAGTTGATAAGAGAAAATTTCTTATTAAAAGGCTTTTAAACGACCACGAGATTGAAGACGATGAAGAAAATAAAGACAGTGCTGATGATGACGATGATCATGATTAGAATTTAAACTTATAGTCCAATGTTTTACCGAAGGAAACCATGGCAAACGAACAAAAAGCGATTAAAACGATGTAGAAGAAATTAATTTTTTGCTGTAACTAATTGCAAGACAAATATAAACGTTTAAAATCGTTATTACATGTCGGAAATTTTCTTTCTTCCCCACCTCAGTTTAATTTTATCGCCAAGAATTTCCAGTGGGTCTGAAAGATCTCATTTAGCATGTGAGCATCTGCTCATGAGCAGTTTTGAGCGTGTGCTCAACTGCTCATCGCACAAAAATTGTAACCGATGTACCAAACAACTTTGGATTCCGCTATGTTCTCCCGGATTCCGGGTGTATAATTCCTAATCTCCGGGCGGTATAAGTACCCTCGCACGGTGCTCCGCACCGGCTTGGGGATAAATTTGAACGATATTCAATGCGAAAGACCAAAAATGCAGTGATTCTCAATTGAAAAATCCATGCCCGTTCTTTAAAATGCAGCATATTCCGTTTATAAAACGTGCATTTTCAATTAAAATATATTAAAGAAACTTTACGGCAAGTGCCTCTGCTCTAAACATCAATATAATTGCAAATATCAATACCAATATATCATTTGATATATATACAATTTTTATATTTTCGAAAAATAAGACCGATAAACTGGATAAAGATCTTTCTTATATCATCGCTTTTGACGTCAAACACCACCTCACTTGAAACACCACCAATTCCACTAATCCCGGACGAAAATAAAATTTGAATACATAATAAACGATATTATTCGCACGTTCACGACATCAAAATTTGCCATGTCAAAGCGAGTTTTATCCCCAAACGTATGATACCATGATTGCTTCAAAACATGATCTGCCAATTTATAAAAATATTTTAGGAAAGAGATACCCTAAAACAAGTCAAACTCAAACTCACGTCGTGTGACCATGCGAATGCGGGACATTGTAACAAGGGTCTATATAATATAAGTAATGATATACTTATAAATTAATGCATGATTGAACGCATATATATTACACTAATTTTGCACGGCCCGTGTTCTCTCCTAAAAAATGGGACTTAAATCTTAACGAATATCTCAAACTATTCTAACAAGCTTAAAAAAAACACCACCACCAGTAGCATCATATTTCAATAATCAATGTTAATTATCAAATAGTTACACCACGCTTGGTGTTGGAATTTGGCCCTAGCTCGGGGCTACATATAAGGATAAACATACCGTTGAAGGAATTCTCAGGAAATCAAAGGGAATTAATGTGTATATTACACAAAGAAATAAAACCTCCTTGAACAAAACACTGTAGCAATGGCGTTCCTAACCTTGCCCAAATTTCTTTTCTCCCAACGGGTTCTGAGATCATCTCTTACCATCTTGTTCCGAAGTTCATCTGCCGTTGCTGGATCGAAGCAAAGCGAAGTGTTGCCGTTCTCTTCAATACCTGGCCCGAACGGAACAATCCGAAACATTCTGGGCTACGCACTTGGCCAAGGCTCACATTTTGAAATCGTATCAAAACGTTTTGAAAAATTCGGCCCGATATACAAAGAGCAACTACTGGGTATGCGATGTGTAAACATAGCCGATGCCAGGACGGTGGAGAAAGTCCTTCGTACCGACCAGAGATTTCAGATGCGACCTGGCCTTGAAGCGGTTAACGAGATTATAGACGAAATTTCTGAAGACGGTGAAAGTTTTAAGATTACGTCAAACAATTACGACGAATGGCAACCACATCGGGCTCTGGTATCTCCTCGACTTTTACGCCCGAAGGAGGTGAAGAAGCAATTCCCTCTGCTGAACAGCGTTGCGAATGACTTTATGAAGCGATTAAACCACCTCAGCGAACATGACGAGACAGTAAGAAATTTTGAAGATGAATTAACGTTTTGGTCCATTGAATCAACCTCCGCGTTTTTGTTTAATCATCGTCTTGGTTTCTACGATCACCCTCCGGATCCTATAGCAGTCGAGTTTACTGAAGCAGCCATGAAAATGTTGAGCAGTCTGACCAAGATTCTCCACAGTGGTCCATTTCATAAATACACAAGAGCTGGTGATACATTTAAGACCAGTTTACTTACAATGCACAAGACCTATTTGGCGATTTACGATAGGTTTGGGACGAGCGGAGAGCAAGCCAAAACGGACATAAGACAAAAACAAACGTTTCATCAATACCTTTCATCTCAGGGGAAAACACCGCACGAGATCGTGTGGGTGATCAGTGGATTAATGGCTGGCGGGATTGAAACTACAAGCACTACCTGTCTTTGGCTTCTCTATCAACTGGCCCAGCATCAGGAAATCCAGGAAAGACTCTACCAGGAATTAGCGTCTTCCCTTGGTCCGGACGAGGAAATCTCAGCTGACAAGATTCCATTGTATCTCAAAGCAGCTCTGAAAGAATCGCAACGCATATACCCAACCGCTTCCGTGGTTCCCCGTGCGTTTGACAAAGACATCGAGCTTCATGGATATCACATCCCAGCAGGTGTGAATGTATTAATCCAGAATCATCTGCTATCAGTCAATAAGGATTGTCATGGTGAAGATGCGAAGAAATTTGAACCGGAGCGATGGATGCGGGACGATGTAACGGAAAAGAAACACAAGATAAACCCTTTCAGCTCGTTGCCATTCGGTCATGGCGTAAGAATGTGTCTAGGTAAGCGGGTAGCCGAATCCACTATCTACACTTTGGTAAGCAAAATATTACTCAGCTACCGTCTGGAATACGCTGATGAAAAAGAGGTGAAAAGAAGTTTTATAGGCGGAATAATGAGACCAGATACACCAATCCGGCTCAGGTTTAAACGAAGATAGAAAACTCTGATGACGCTTTAAACAATATCTAGGATTGTCATATTAATCGCATAATCACACACTTTTTCAATTATGAAAATATCCCTCTATTTTGGCTTGTAACTGACGCAGTTAAGCTTCCAAGGTGTAGGTGCCTATAGGAAAGGGAAGTGGGCCAGATTAAATGTAAAAGGGTTCTAACCTCCCATTTGTAGTTCATATTTGTAGTCTTTCGCCATTTTTGATGGCAAATTAAAGTTGAGTAAACAAACGTAGAATGCAAGTGAGTTTGTAGAGCACTGGGGCTACCAATTTTGCCCGTGATCTAAGAAAAACATTCGTAATGGTCTGGGGGTTAATGGTAGCCAGTTGATTAAAGTCTTGCCGCCCAAGATTTCGATTTCTTTCACTGATTACGATTTTGTGGCACTTCACTCGATGTAGGTAAATTCTAAAGGTTTTAAAGGGTCTTAATTTCGAGTGGAATCCTCTTAAGCCAGAGGTTCAATTCCTGCAGGAGGACCGCCAGTTGACTAATTTTTCTCAACTGTTCCTGGCTTGAATTGAGTTTTTTACGCTACATCGAGTGAAGCGCCACAAAATCGTAATTGATCTACCCAAATTACGTAAGACCCTTTAAAAACCATCAAAAGAAAGGTTCTTCATTATTTTGACCTGTTGCAACTGACTCCGGCACATAACAAGTAATCAATGATATAACAGACCATTATATCATAGATAAGATAGCAGTTACGACGTAGCCGCATTCACCGGGGTGCCTATGCCATTATGGGAGATTTTGTCATCAAAACGCTATCAATTATGATGAAAACTCAACATATTATGAATTGAGGCATTATATATCTACTCCTTGGTGGTTTTAAGGGGGGATTATACGAGCCCGGTCCTCCAAGATTACTTTGAAGCCTTGAAAAATACAAGTCTTTAATAAGAAACAAAGCAGGAAAATGCTATTGTTAGGACGACTACACCACTGCCATGATCTTCTTATATATATACTTTTAATACCTCAAAGTCATATTCCATGCTTCGTTTAATTTTGATCTTGACTAATGCCTAGTAAACTGGAAGTATAGTTCTAACCCAATATATGACTTTTTTTACAACCTTTTAAAATTTTCATAATTACCTTTTGGTCTCAATAAAAGAATAGGTTTCAATTATACTCTCCGTTGTGACAGGCAAATGCAACACTCTTGAAGAGCTTGCTCTTTTTGATAAATGAAGAAGGTGTTGCCAAATATATATCTCTTTTGTAGTCATAGCGTAGATAAAGATGGTCTTTACTGTGAATTAAGCCCTATATATGAAGAATTATTGCAGTAGTAAATGGTGTTGGAAATTACAATTGTACATGAAATATTTTCATAAATTTTTCAATTTACATATAGGGTGTAATAATTAGCAATTATTGAATGAGGTTGAACATGATATGAAGAATTATCAAGCCGAGATTTGACAAACTGAGATTTGATAATTCTTCATATCATGTGAAAACCGAATTCAATAAATGTTTTATTATTTATTTAAAAGAACGAACATGTATTCCTTGCCGTAAAGTTGCCGAACCTTTCACTTAAAGGAAGCTATTGTGTTGATGTCTTCGCCATTCGTGTGACGTCAAACGTGGGATACTTATCATTTATAGACCTGGAACGAGGGGAATTCGACGAAATATTACCCCCAAGGGAAGCGCAGAAGCTGGGTGAAATGGCTTCTTTTGCCTCCATTTTGAAATTGTTGACAACCTCGAGTCGTGTGCGAGGCATCCACGCGTGGTACACGCAAACTCGACTTTTATAGCATAATGTGAAAAAATTCGATGGAACTCCATGATTAATTTACTGATCACGTGGTACAAATCGAGCTTTCTGATTGGATGATTTACAGTTGAGATATAATATGACTATTTATCACACTAAAAAAAGTCGTATCACACGTTATGACGTCACACGTTGGATATGACGATTTAACACATGGCTATTAGCCAATCACAGACTGTGAATTCTTTTAAATAAATAATAATGTATCTTATTATATCTTTATAAACTTCCGAAAACATTCTCCTGTATAAATTGTCAGGCAAATTTGGGCTGCCCATGGAACTGTATAGGTACTGAATTACCAAACCCCCAAATGCTAATAATTACTGCATTAGGGTCAAACTGGAGATCTTAAAGTTTACCAGCCTAACATTTACCTATACCTAAGCTGAGCTCAGGTTGGTTGAGGTTGTAGCTGTTAACTAGCTAATATGGCAAAAAAAGGTCTATTTCCTTCATTTATAATTTAAATATCAATCAGGCAATCACCTTCTTAAGGTGCTTTTACACTATGCAACTTTCCTTGCAACTTGCAATGCAATTCTAATTTTGAGGGATGTTAATTTGTAAAGAGTGTAAAGGCCCATTTACACTACACAACTTTTGCTTACAACTGTCGCATGCAACCTGCCTACAACACGACTTGCACAGTGTAAATCAAGCCCACAATACGCTTACGACAACTGCGTGCAACACGAAAAAAGTTGTACGATTTTGAAACATGTTTTAAAACTCCACGACTGTTGTAGCCAAATATGGTAAAAAAGTGGCGTATTGTGCACAAATATGCTCCTTTCTGGGGCTACACTTGGTTACAATACATGTTAACTTATAACTTCAAAATGTTTTTTAAGTTTTTTTTCGCCTTTTTATAATCGCAGTGATAGCTGTGCAAACAACAACTCTTTTAGGAATATCATCCATGTTTGTTTTGTCCTCAACACCAGTCCTTTGCGAGACAAAATCCGCGAAATTCTATACAACTCCTGGTGATTGTAAATTCAAAGTTGTACAAGTGTGGATCATGAGCAAGTCGTGTTGTAGGCAGGTTGCATGCAACAGTTGTAAGCAAAAGTTGTGTAGTGTAAATGGGCCTTAAGAAATGTTTGTATTTGTCAATTAATTTTAGATGCCTCAGGAGTAGAATTTCATTGCAAGTTGCAAGGAAAGTTGCATAGTGTAAAAGCACCTTTAGACAGACAGCTAGTTTGCACTAAATGAGAACTTCAGTCATCAGTACAAGTCTTACAGCCACTGTATTATATATACCTTGGGTAACTGGACTGCCAGGTTGATTTTGATATATTGTATACACAAAGTTCCAAGTTGGTAACCGCCAATAACATTTACAGATTCCAGTTTCTTAAAGATGAACTTTCCTTTTATTGGACCAGGCAAGGAAAAAAGTGGAATACTACCATTCTTTGCCATCCAACTCAGATCACTGATCTGAAAACACAATTGATTTGATATTTGTTACCCATTATAGAAAAGAGAATTTTAATTGTTTTTGCATTGGTAATGAGGTTGACTCACATCCTGTTGTTCTCCATCCGGCAATGATTGATGTTAACAATTCATTCAAAAGGTGCAATGTCTGCTCTAGCTTAAACCTCAGCAAGCAGTTCATTTATCTGCATGTGAAACAGGCTGGAATGAAACAAGCTTTCAGTCTCCTTCAATGAGTTCAGTTCCTCAAAAGTAGGGGGTCAATACAAGCTTTCTTTGTTGTCAGAGTATAATGAAATGCAGGCTTAACCTCATCTTCTTTGGCAGCCTGCAATAATATAAAGGTCCATTGTGTCAAATGCTTCTGTTGGCAATTAAAGAATGAGTCTAAACCATCATACTTTGCACTAGTATGTTTACAGTTGGAACTATTTATCGCCATTTTGGGGCTGGTGCTCATAAATTCATGAAGCTCATGTATAACATACCAGCGAAAAGCAATGACCAGTAAGACTCATTCGTTAATCTGCATTTAGGAATTGGCTTATCTGAATAGCTACAGCATGCAAGTATGTCTATGACTGTAGCTATCTTCTAGGAGCCATGAACAAATGAAATGCATTAAGTCTATCAGATTAACTAATATGAAAATTGCAAATGTAAACAAACATCAATTATTACTATGATATTAATCATATAATTCCCAAAGCTAAGGAATAAAATGCAAACATATTAACCCATTTGGCATTAGACACAGCATAATGCTAAGATAGGCATAGGCGGCTCAACAAATAGTCAAATTCAGCTTTGTTATAATCAAGTTCACTACCATAACTACCATCATCGGCAGGGCATTGGCTCAATTAAATACAATATGTTAATCAGGTTAACCAGTAACATCATAGGTCACCATAGGGTAGCAGTGGTATCCAATTTGAACATCACTTCACAGGTAAATAGCACATAAGGACTTAAAAGACATCATCTTCACCTTGACCCTAACTATATAACTGGCGCAATATTCCTTACATTTGATTGTAATGTATCAGTCTATCACATACACTGCACTGTGTCTGCACAAGTTCTTTCCCTTTAGGCACGGAGTTCACATATGATCATGCAGATGAATAAAAACATGCATTCTGATTCATCAGGATTCAGGATACCCTCGGGATTGACTCATTTTATTTGATGTGGTCTACTAGCCTCTATGATTTAGACAAAAATCATCGAACTCCGACTGTTTCAAAAACGGTTCCATGCAAATGAAATGTTTATCCATACCTTGTTGCTAAATTTCATAAATTGCTACTTTCCTTCAATTTTCGCTTGACGATTTTCAAAAATAAAAAATAAACAGTCTATTTACAAAATTTGCAACACACATCACACGTGGTCGCTCCAAGTGAGCCCACAATATGACCAGTCAGTGGGGAAAATAGATGACGTCACAAGCTATCCTAAAAAATCATGACGTCATCGTGGGAACCAGTACTGTTGAACTGTTGGGAACCGAACTCCGAACAGATTTGTACATTGGGTGAAACGGGAAGGTTTTAATAGAAATCTCAATCTGGACCTTTGAATTTATTAATTAAATTCAGAATCAAATAGAAATAAACGGCTCCGCAATACTAAATTCCTACGACATAAGTAACAACTACACAATCGCAAAGTGTTTGAGGAAAGTTATACGTTCGTTCTTATCACAAACTGCGTATAGATATTAATCTAACGAATTTAGCCTTTGTAATGTCGTTAATAGACATAATTCGTTTTTATAGCCCTCTGCCATTTAGGATGGCAAAAACGTAGTTAGTCATTCAAAGACAACAAAATGCAACGTACTCGGATTCTAGTAGCTGTAGCGAATTTGGCCTGTCCGGCATTTCAGAAGGGTCTTACAGTTTCCTAGCGAAAAACAAGAGATAAATTTACTAAATTCTAAAGTATACCTAAAAATCAAATTTTGCTTATACATTGCAGCTAGCTAAATCGCAAGGTTTTAAGAGTCTTTGACTGTTCTTTTAAGACTGTTTTATTCAAGCACTACCCTTAAAGCGGCAAGAAGGATATAAACGCTTGTCCATTGTCCAATGGCGCCAATTTAAGCATATAATTCAAATTTCCGTAATATTTTTCAAATTATCTGCACGTCGTCAACAGCCTAGTCGGCAACATTACAATAATAACGTTGCCACAGGAACAAAATACTAAATATGAATACATATCGATAAAGCATATTGTATGTTTGCAATTACATGATATGTATTTTGAACCACGAAGTAATTTTTGCTAGAAGTATTTCAAAGCGTGTGTATACACTCGTTATCTTGTTCCGCTCTACTCTAATTTCCGGCCTCGCTTGTAACTACATCTAGCGACATTACTCAATAGGTCGTTTGGAAACGGGTATGTCGAGACGAAATGGACTCTGCTGTGCTTCAAGAAACGCTTAAAAGATTGGATCGACTTGAGCAAATCTTAGAGAAGGTTGAGAATAACACCAGGGCTGCTCCACAGGAGATATGGCACGTTCAGCGAGAAGACAAGGTATGTATATGCTGGCCGCCAGACCATACAAAAGCCTTTGTGCTAGGAGTGTTTACAATTCGACGACGACCAAACATTATCACCGACCATAAACTAGAGTATAGACTATAGAGTATACATTTGATCATTTGGTAAACTATGAATTAGGCCGTTAGATAAGAACAAAATTGGGAACCGAAGGTTAAGCCTGTATAAATGGAGCTTGGCGTCTTCAGTTGCTATAATTATATACTCTCGGCGTGATATACAACTTGCTTAAGTAAATACAAATATTATGGCTTGGCCTTAGGGAAACACCACGTTTTTTTTATTGTAAATGTTTCGTTCGGTTACACGCGTAAAAATCATCTTGTTGATGCAAGTTGTTAAAAACAGGAGTGAACAATGTTGCGCTGCACCCTGCATGTGAACAGTATTGTTAACAATGTTGTTGAAGCTTGTTGACTCGTCAAACATCAATGTTGTTGCAACTTGTTACAACAACATTGCATCAACATTGATGATTCAACAAGCTTCAACAACATTGTTAACAATACTGTTCCCAGGCAGGGTGCAGCACATCATTGTTCACTCCTGATGCGACAACCTGATCAATTTTTGGCCGTCTACACAGCTTTCCATCACAGCCATGCCTCACGGTTTTTATATATATAATTATATGAAACGGCCGAATTCCTAATAACTTCTCCACTCTTCAGTTGCGACTTCATATTTACCTTCCAACCTCAAATATGTTCTTATATACACATACTATTTTTTGAGCAGCGAGAATATCCTTTATAAGATTATACTTTTCCTTCCTCTGCAAGCGTATATGCCGCACGCATTAACTTTAAACTCACCGTATAAACAGTCTTCAAATGTGCAATAACCCTGAATACTCGTGTATATCGGTATAAAACCTCGATCATGTCAGCTTATTTATTTTTGTATAAGAATGCTAATAAGCGATTAGCAACCAAGTGCTAGAGAACAATTTGTTGCTAACAAGTTTGTTGTACAACACAGAGCTTTGTAGCAAAACCTGTTGACAGCCTTGCATGAAAAAGCAGGCGAATGCATTCTTATAACAATTGTTGAAATTTGCCGGATAACGCTGGTTATTTACCCAGTAAACAGGCAGGATAGTCTATAGTCTGTGTGGAGAAGAGAAATTGCACTAAAAAAGGTTGCATATTCCATCTTTCTATAGGTGAATATCTCAGTACGGATTAACATTCAGACTGTTGGTGACATAGATAATGTGAATCAGCAGTTTTATTTGTACTTTATTTTGTTCTTGGAATGGAGGGAACCGCGTTTGAAGGGAATGAGTCGAGAGGTAGTTGTAAATTTGAGTTATAAATTGAAATAGGATTTCACATGCAAGGTGTTTATCTACCTACTTTAATTAGTGCATGTGTTTACTCTGTGTAAGTTAGGCGATATTATACTAGTTATTAATGCCGCCAGCCACTGGTAAATCATGAATAAATATTGAATTGTGTGAAGACGGTCAGGTAATCTGAATCCTGGTTGGATAGAAATTATCCACACCACCGCGACTTCGCGCTTAAAAACCAAGCGTGGAATTCAAATAGACTTCAAATGGTTGTCTTTTATATTCGTAATTAGTCGTGACTGAATGACTGATTTCAATATAACAAAATAAATATTTCGACTAATTCTGAAAGCGCTGGTTTTCATTTGGTTGTAAGTGACAACAAGTTAGTTCACCGATTGGAATAGCACGGGTGAAAATTTGTCTTTATTCTTAATTGAATTCATTGCACCGATAGCATTACTCAAATACATCAACCACCTTGACATCACCACGACAATGTAGCACTAAATGAAGATTTTTTATTGTTCTCAAGGATGTCGTGTGGAATGAACAATGGGATCCAAGGATTAATTTCAAAAATCAACTGACCGTGGAGAGACTGGAAAAGAAACATAAATTGAAATATGAACCCAGAAGATAACATCCCAAAAGTGAACCTGTGTATGAAATCTTTTGCATTTTACTCAGTTTATTTGATCTTTTAATGCAACAATTAAGATACGCGTGTTTGGATCGATCAATAACATGCTATCGTTTGTATTCTAAAAGCTTACTCATACTCAAACCCATTGAGCGGGCGATCATAATTTTCTCATAGCGTTTCCATAAAGGTATTCCCATTCGAATAAGAGCGAGCTTGATGCAGTGTTTTACCGTGAATGTTTCCAATGATTAGGAAAGAACTTTCTCATTGATCAGTAAAAATAAAATTTGTATGTCACGCTCAAGGAGTGCGAGTGAGCTTTTTGAATACAGGCGCATATGATAAAGGGTTTTTTTGTTATCTTTTTCGTTAATGTCTTGTTTGGAGTTTCTTGTCCAAAAGATTACTTTCTCAATGAAAATCAGCTACAAAAAACACAACTAAACTACGTTGTACGAGGTATGGCATGTTCGCGGAGTAAGGCGAAGTTCAAAGGACTATTTTGGCTCGTTTTCTGTTATTAAATTTTCACCATCGATTAGAAAATCTATTTCTAAGAATACGATTTTGTACAATTGTAGTTGATACAGGAAATCAAATTTACCTAATCATTCGATGTTCATTTTGTTTTTAATCAAGCGATTTATGTCGCTGGGACTTTCAAGGAAATCTTCGAGTTGGATGATTTTTCATTTGATTACCAGGTATATAACCGAAGCCACTGATACGATAATACACCCTTAGAATTAATAAAATCTTCAGTCGAAAAAGTAGTTTACATAACACCTAGTGCCATGTGTGATTTCTTTCACAATGCAGAACTTGACAATACAGTTGGACTCAGACTGGCCAGAATCTATTCTGTCGCTAGAAAAAAGTAATGAAATGAAAGATAGTGTTGTGTTACGGACATTCGCAGGTAATGGGGAAAATTTGAATGGGTAATGGGCAAAAATAATGTACAAGGCAGGAAAAAAGACGCATAGACCTTTTCACCTTGTATGCAAATTAACTAAAATACCCATTTCAAGTCACATGGTCTGAAATGGTTAAGTTTTATTGGTTATTCCATGGTCAAAACATCTGAAATGGGTTGATTTGAATGCAAGCTGAAAAGGTCTATTGACGTGACACTGTCGTAGATCATAATTTGTCATCAGTGGAACAGAAAGGATACTGGTAACATCTTAAATGGTCCCGGTATCGCTCTCATACGATTCTACTGCTGAACCTCATCCGTTCAGAATTTAAATCTCCAAACTGGACTTTTAGAAGTCTCGACTACCTGAGCTTCAGTGGCGTAGCCAGCACGATAATTGGGGGGGGGGGGCACATATTCATATATTCGTGATACGCAGGATTAATTTCTTTTCAAATCAATTGTCTTTACAGTCTGTTAACATGAATATATGAATATTCGCCCCCCCAATTATCGTTACTGGCTACGCCACTGCTGGGGCCGGTTGTTCAAAAGCCGGTTAACGCTAACCCAGGGTTAAAAATGCCTAACCCAGGGTTAAATTTTAAACCTTGGTTGATTTGCGTTGCACAAAGCTCGGTTAGCGTTAACCCTGGGTTAAAATTGATAAAAAAATTGACCCTGCTAGCTAGGTGGGTTAACTTTCTAACCCTGGGTTAACTTCGATTCAAAATGGATGAATAAGGAGCTGAAACACGTAAACACGTATAATTCGTCATGAATTAAACACTTTTGAAAGGTTTTAGGAATCATTTCGACAGCAAAGAATTATTTAAGTTTGACTTCGTTCGGTTTCAGCTGATGTATTGATTTATTTATCTTCGCTTCAATGCAATACATGCACGATAAATGAATACAACCGTACAAATTGAAACATCGTAATCGAAATATTTGTTTCGGATGTTTTTCGGATGCCAAAATTCGATTCTTTTGATTGGCAGCAAGTGGTAAGGCTACGTTTGTTTCTGAATTTTGAATAATCAAAGAATGTCTGAAATTTTAAAATAGATTGTTTATAATTTCCTTAATTTTATTTCACATCGACATTGTTTATCATACAAAATAGCCTTTCATTTCGAATCTTTCCAAAATTCTTTGCACGGAAATTGCTGTTCAAAACAACGTCCCTGCGACCCTGCCCTCACGGCATATAATCTTTCGACTGACAATATATCCTTGTCGGGTAAAGTTTTGACGCTCGTTTATTGACCAATCGAGAACGTTCTTATATCCATTATAGTCCTTAAAATACATTTAATCTTAGGTTAAATATTTTAACCCTGAGTTAACTAACCCTACCGCTAACCCTGCTTTGAACAACACAATTTTAACCCAGGTTTAGCTAACCTAAGGTTAAGGATTTTAACCCAGGTTTAGCACTAACCCAGGGTTAAATTTAACCTGCTTTTGAACAACCGGCCCCTGAGCTTTAGAACAAAAACCTTTAGTCAGGTAGCCTTGCGTATTACCACACTAAATTTTATTTCACTTTTTGAGAAACTGCCTACACTGGCTGTAAAATACGTTTTAATTTCCCAATATCAAAGTATATATATATGCCATGACTTATCAAAACAATCCCTTATATATCCTAATGCTAATTAATTTACATATTAAACTGTACAGTCATATTTACATAAATTGTCATACTAAATGTGACATCTCCCGTTTTTTCAGTTTTTTTCACAATAATCATACATAGTTCCTAAATTATATTACCAGTATTATAAATGATGTTCAAACCTGAACTAAATTTAATACGTCCTATTTCTACTAAATTCAAACTCAAATATACTTAGCTAAATGTTTTCAATCAATCGGGATGGTGCTCTTCGAATTCTTGTACTTCTTCTCAAAGGTGGTCGTACTCCGTCTTCCTCTATTTCTGTACTCGGGGATATAACTGGAGAAACAACTGGTAAACGTTCAATAGTTGGGGCTATAACTGGACAACATTCTTCTTCACTGACAGGTTCCATTGGTGGTGTAATGGTCATTGGTGGTTCGTTAGTTGGCATTAGATGATGGCGATTTCTACGTAACTGCGTTCCATTTGAAGTTGCCACAATATACGAACGAGGTGATTTATGTTGTTCAATGACCACAGCCGGATTCCATACACCTCCCTGTCGAACTCTCACCGACTCTTTTGGCTGTAAACTGGATAACTGTTTCGTTCCCCGATCGTATGCTGTTTTCTGACGCAACTGACGTACTCTCAATCTCTGGCGAACATCCTCAACTGGCTGTGACTTCGGCTTAAGAAGATGCTTCGGAATTGGTAACTTAGCTCTCAGCTTTCTACTCATCAACAGTTCTGCAGGCGATTGTTCCATACCACTAATTGGAGAATTACGAAACTCCAACAAAGCTAAAAATGCATCTTGTTTCGAATCATTTGATTTTTTCAACAGAAGTTTAATTGTCTGAACATTTCTTTCCACAAGTCCATTCGAGCGCGGATAGTGCGGGCTGCTTGTCACAACCTCAATTTCCCACTCTCTAGCAAAGTCTTTAAATCTAAGGCTGTTAAAAGGCATATTATCGGCTATAATCTTTTCTGGAATCCCATGACGGGCAAACATTTCTTTCATTGCTAAAATGACTGCTTCACTACTCTTGTGATTTATCCTTGTCACTTCAGGATACTTCGAGAAATAATCAACTACCAATAAATAATCTCTTCCTTTATAATAAAATATGTCCGCTGCAACGGTTGACCACGGCCTCTCTGGAATTTCCTGCGGCATCAACGGCTCTCTCTGATTCCTTCGCTGAAATTGTAAACATGTTCTACACTCTGAAACCATTACATCAATTGCACTATTCATTCCAGGCCAGAATACTGAACCTCTCGCCCGTGCTTTACACTTCTCGATTCCCAAATGAGCTGCATGTATACGATCCAACATTTCTGATCTAAGAACATGTGGAACAATTACACGATCTCCTTTAAACATCAAACCATCATAACTGCTTATTTCATCTCTGTAACTCCAATAAGATCGAATTTCTATGGGCGTTTCAGGCTTTGTCTGCGGCCAACCATCCATAACTACTCTATGCAACTGCTGAAGTTCAACATCCTTCTTGGTCTCCTCAACCAACTTCTCAAACATAGTCTCAGAAATCTGACCCGATTCCAAAACATTGACCTCGAATTCATCTGGATCTGGATCGTTTATCTGTACGGGCATCTGAGATCTAGAAAGAGCATCTGCTATCAATAACTGACTACCTGGAGTATATTTCACTTTAATCGCATAAGGTTTAATTCTGAGTATCATTTTCTGCAATCTAAGAGGAGCTTGATGGATGGGTTTCTTCATTATTGCCTCTAACGGTTTATGGTCAGTTTCCACGAGAACCTCGCGTTGCCCATATAGGTATTGATGGAAATGCTCACAACCATAAACTATTGCAAGCATTTCTTTTTCAATCTGTGAGTAGTTCTGCTGACATGAAGTTAACGCTTTCGACGCATACGCTACTGGACGATCATTCTGAAGAAGCACTGCACCCATACCTTTCGAGCTGGCATCAACCGACAAGCACACAGGTTCTTTCTGATCAAAGAATTTGAGGATTGGTGGATCGATAATTGCTGCCTTTAAAGTTGTAAACGCTTTTTCTTGCTCTTGTTCCCAAAACCATTCAACATTTTTCTCCAGCAACTGACGCAACGGAGCTGTTATCTGTGCCATATTTGGAATAAACTTGGCGACATACGTAACCATGCCCAAAAATCTCTTCAACTCTTCACTATTTGTGGGCCGCGGCATCTCTTTAATCACTTCAATTTTCCGGGGGTCTGGTTTCAGTCCATCTGAACTCAAAACATGGCCAACATAACTTACTTCAGGAACGCGAAATCTACACTTCTCTGGATTCAACTTAAGGTTTTTATCACGACAGCGTTCTAAAACCATACGAAGTCGTTCGTCATGTTTCATTACGTCTTCTCCCCAGACTACTAAATCGTCCACGATAACTTCAACTCCTTCTATATCTGAAAACATGTCCGACATAATACTCTGAAATACTTCCGGAGCCGAAGCTATTCCAAACGGCAAGCGTTTATAACTATACCGTCCAAATGGAGTATTAAAAGTGGCTAAGTCACTGCTTTCATTGGCCAATTTAACCTGCCAGAAACCATGATTCGCATCAAGAACACTAAACACCTTGGCATTGGGCATTCTGCTGACGACCTCTTCAACAGTCTGCATAGGAAAATGCTCTCGCATAATCACTTTATTTAAATCACTAGGATTCCATGCAGACTCTAATTTTGTTGTTGCTTTTCTGGCGATGACTAGGCTATGTACCCAAGCGGTGGGTTCATTCTTTTTCTCAATCACCCCCAACTTCTCCATTCGACGCAACTCTTCTTCTAGTGGCTTTCGAAGTGCCATAGGAACTCTTCGAGGAGGATGCACCACTGGATTAGACAATGAATCAATCTTAATCTGGTACTGAACATCTTTAATCTCTCCCAGACCTTCGAAAACGTCACTGAATTCTGTTTCGATCTTCGGTGGATCCATTTCCAAACTATAAACTCGCTTTACCAATCCGAGCTCTAAACAGGATTTCAATCCTAAAATCGATGGTAGATCTTGCTCAACTAGTACAAAGTCTAACACAGTAAATTTGCCTTTATACTCGCACTCTAAACTGACTTTGCCTTTCGGATTTATCTTACGGCCATCGAACATCTTCAACTTGCTTTTGCTTTTAACAATCCTTGTATTTGTTAATGACAATTGCTCAAACGATGATTGCGAAATCACATTACAATCTGCCCCTGTATCTAATTTGAAATTCAAATCCATTCTTCCCAACTTAAGCACGACATGCCAGTCATTCTTTGAGCCGCCTTCATTATTTGATTCTACTGAAAATGTCAATAAATCATCATCACTAACTTCGCCGTCTTTGAATTCCCCTACAACATTCATTTCTCTTGGTCTATAGTCACGTTGTCGTTGCTTCGCTCGACACACACGCTCAAAATGTCCCGTCTTCTTACAATAATTACAAGTTTTGCCAAACGCCGGACAAGACCTTGATGCGTGAACCATACCACAGAATCCACACTTTTCGGACTTTGTTTTTTTCACGGCGGCCGCCTGTCTGCTCTTTTCCTTGATTAGCACCATATCGAAGAACATCTACCGACTGATTTGCTTCGCTTGATTGCCCCCTAACATTCATGACTTTAATCTGTTCCTTCGACGCTTCGGCTGCTCTCGCCATACTTATAGCTTTTTCCAGTGTTAGTTTCTCTTCTCGTAATAACCTTTCTTTCACAGCTACGTCTTGTAACAACACAAACTTGTCCCTTACCATATCGTCAACCGATGTATATTCGCACGATTTTACTTTGTTCTTTAATCTTGTGACAAATTGGTCAACCGTCTCTGAATCTCTCTGTGTAATTTTCCAAAACTGATATCTCTCGAATACAACATTTTTTCTGGGGTTACAATACCTTTCAAACTTCTCGATAACCTTATCCAATTTTTTTTCATCGCCAGCAACAAACTCGAAAGTATTAAAAACTTCTATAGCATCTTCGCCGGCAAAATTCAACAATATGGCTATTTTAATTGTGTCGTCTTTGTCTTCGCTTCCCGACGCGACCAAATATATCTGATACTGCTGCTTAAATCGTCTCCAATTTTCTGATGTATTTCCTTCGAAACTTAAAGAACTCGGCTTATGAAAGCTATCCATAATCCCACACCTGACACCATGTAAAATACGTTTTAATTTCCCAATGTCAAAGTATATATATATGCCATGACTTATCAAAACAATCCCTTATATATCCTAATGCTAATTAATTTACATATTAAACTGTACAGTCATATTTACATAAATTGTCATACTAAATGTGACACTGGCTTCACGCGAATGGCGCATATTTTTGACATCTGTTTAGTTGTTTTTCTCACGTGCAGTTTATGACTCCAAAACTGTTCCACACTTGAATAGATTGTCACGAATGGACGCGCTCTGTTCTCATGCGGTGGCTGGTAGAGTTGAATCAAACCAACACCATGCCGGCTCGCACAAGAGATACCCACATTATTCAATCACGTGCCATGTCAAGAGAAAACCTAACTTCTACACGTGGAATGTTGCGCTAATTGTGGTAGGTGCCCAAATCAGACATAGCTTTCTTCTCAGGGCCGTAGCTAGACCGTTTAATTTGGGAGGGGGGTATATTCATATATTCATGTTTATCTACCGCAGGAACAATACCGTACAAAAGAAATCAGGCGGGCGTAAGATGAATTAATGAATATACACCCCCCCCCAAATTAAGCTTCCAGCTCGCCCTGTTTTTTCTGGAGAAATACGTGGAATGAAAAACAGGAAATGGTGAACTATTTACTAAATGTTCTACTACTAAATACTATTCATGGAAATAAAATTGAGGCTCGTCTTCTAAGTCTTTTCAAGCATATAGCTAAGCTCAAAGATGCAAGTCCAATTATCCACAAAAATATGACGGTATTATTATTATTAAGTTTTTAAAACTATTAAATTTTGGTTTATCTCAGTACGAGGTAAAGCAACGCCTTCGATCAATCAGTTGATATTCGATGAGTCTCACTGAGCAACCATACATTTGGACCATGAAGTTTTAATTGCTGTAAAGACATACATGGAGTGTAGTGATCATTTTAGTATCCAGGTGATGTCGTTTTCATAATTTAGGAGGCGATCAGCGTTGCGGAGGGTTTTCGAAACAGAAATTCGATCTGCAGTATTTGACTGAGTTACTCAGTATAAAACTAGTCTGAATTTTGTGATCATGGTTAGTTATATAAGAACTAAGAACTATACCATCCGAAATGTACATCCGAAGTATACTCAAGAGATATAAGTAGTTTCAGCCATTGAACTGTAACAAACTGGAACGATAATTCAGGAAGGAAAATTGAAGCCAGTGCATGTTTTTTACTTTTCCTGAGTGATGAGCTGAAATACTTGACGCCAAATATTGAGCCGTACATGAAATTAAAGCTATTAAAAAGTTCTATTCCGTATAGAAACCTCGAAACTCTAGCTTAAAGGGAAATATCTAAAAAATATTTGAAAAATTTCCGGTTATTTCCTGGTTGGTAATTGTTTTTGGTTTTTTTATATAATTCCTGTGAAGTTATTATAAGTCTTGAAATTTCCACATAAAACTTTTCAGTAGCCTTGTTTTGATAAACAGCCCAACGTCTGGCGTTTTTAGCTCATAATTCAAGCTAATATAGAGATGTTTGTCAGGAGTTGGCGTTCCAGTTTACCTACAGTGCAATGGTTTCCCGGTCCATTCCCACCATTTCATATCACCTAGATCATGTGATTCATATCATCAGACGTTAACTACCATAGTTGGGATTACTAACGAGTCCTTCAAAAATATCTTTTTAATTTATGTTTATAACCGAATTATAGTAAAATTAGGCATTTTTGGCAGTATATCAGTAGTGTAATGATCAATATAATATCACTTTCAACATCTAGAGCCTTATCATGGCACTGACGTTTTGTTCCTTCGCTGTTGACATCACTTCACCGGAAGAAAGACTTGGTGTAACTTTAACTTTGCTTCTAACATCGGTCGCATTCAAGTTTGTTGTAGCCCAGAGTCTTCCTAATGTCAGCTATTTAACATACTTGGTATGATACTTAACGTTGTATCCTAAGCATGGGCTTTAAGGCTTTATGTAAAAAGTATTTTCAATGCATGCAGGCGCCTATAATCGATTGATCATGCATTTTCAGGATCAATATGTGATAAGCCATGATACTTAACGTTCTATCCTAAGCATGTTTCGAATTCATACTAACTCTTTTGACGAAGGCCCTCAGGTCGAAATGTCGAGACGTGTTTTGTCTATTTTAGGCAGTTTTTATACCACATTTGATGCTAAAAGGCTTTGAAATGGCCTTTATATAAAAAGTATATTCAATGCATGCGCCTATAATCGATTGATCATGCGTTTTTAGGATCAATATGTGATAAGCTGTATGGTAATCCAGTGTGTTATAGCCATTCTTAACACCATTGGAGGAAAGGTCTCGGCGGAAAATCAAGACAAATTCGATACAGTTTCTTTGTGTATTCTCGGAGGAATTGTTGTTATCCTTCATCTTATTTTTACAGTCCTGCTCACGATAAAGGTAAAAATGGTAAGCCCGTAACATTAAAAGATTGTTTTTCTTATATGACTGTCATATTCACTCAATAATTGAAAAAACAATTTTCAGCATGCATGCATTTGCTATCTAAAAAATTGAAATTGTGCATTTATCAATACATATAACCTATAGTATACAAAATCTAACTTAATTTTAACCAATTTATTTATGAACCAGGCCAGCATGTTCATAATTTAACATAATTATCGCTAGTTGCGTTTCTTAATTATTACCATTCTTTCTTTCAGGTTAGGAAAATAAATACGTTCTTGAATGGAGTGACAAAAGAATATGATAGATTAGCTGCAGAATATGATGAAAAATATCAACAGAAAAAGTCTTTGAAATCGCAGAATAAACAGAAAACTGAAGAAAATGCTCAAGAGGTACTTATTGATCTATAGTTTTGAAGTGTGTCGTGTTTTAAATTTCACATTTTTGGCAGCATCTTTATGTGTGACGCCATGGCGTAGCCAGACCAAAATCTCCAGGATTGCGGGTTACTCGTCCATGCTGTTTAATCTAAAATATAAGCAATCGTTATCTCTTACCAGGATGTGTCAAAAAACGCTCTTCAAAATAGGAAAAAGGACAAGAAAATGAGCCTGGTGGAGGATTTTTACCAAGGCAATGATCTCTCAAACCAATTTCATTATTCTCTGCAGGTACAACGACTCTATTTTATAGAATACGTTTGCCTAAAACATACCTGACCCATTTTAAATACGCAACGAATAAGTGGTTTTATTGTTTACCTTGCTTTAATTTTCACTTGATTACCCAAAATAATTTAAAAAGCACTATTAAATTCAAGATTGGGAAAGTTTTGAAGATCCACACTACGAATATCCATGATGGTTGTATGTCTCCATACCATGCATGGTACCTCAAATATAAAAGAAACCATAACAACTATATATTTTGTTTCTAATTTAAGGTGGATCCATAGTCTATCTTTGCGTTCTCTTCTGTTAAACATTCCTCTGAATTCAAGGCACATTGCATGTAAGAGTCGTTAAGGTTCTTTAATAAAATCAACATGCAGAATTTAGAGTGGTTTAAAACCGCGCAGAAATTGCGCGTTGAATTTTTGCAGTATCATATTTTGAAATTATTGTGTTGGAAATACTTTATGAATATTATATATTTCAGTGATGAAGTATGTAAAGTTATTCTGGTTAAACAGATTACTTGGTTATTTCGATGACTAGTTTCATGAGATGCTGATCTTGTAAGGATAAAAACGCCAATAAAAAAGCTTATTTGCACCACCCAACTTTTATCATGGAGATCACATTAGCGGAATTTTCGATGCAACTAAATTTTCGCTTTTTTTTCGATTGGGGGGATTGCCTCCACCGGTGACAACTTTACACCGTAGTGTGAACGCGCGCGCAGGCTAACCCTGGGCTCCAACGTGTAAATTTTTTCCCGCGCCCCACGAAAACCCACATGACCTTCACACGACTCGCAATAAATGAATGCATGTCTTGAAGGGAAACGCCTATATTTGTCTGCGTTTAATGTTAAATGTTGGTTTTCACCTCGCCCTATCTTTTAAGAGCAATAACTGGCTGATTCTCACTGTAAAGCCCCAGTAAACGATTGTAGAAACAGAATTCTGGTTGTTCATTCTCCGTGAAAACGGACATGTTCCAATTGAAAGAAAAAAGCGGGTGAAAATTTTGTAGTACTTCAGTTTTTTGTTTTGAAATTTCTTACAGACAATGAAGTTTCGTCGCCGCAGGACGTAATTTTGCAATTTTCCCGTTAGGTTATCGATTTACTAGAGCCGTTATCTTACGTTCTGTAATCTTACTGAAGTAAAACAATATATATAATGTAATACAATATAATGATACACTGATTTCAACACATTCTCAGCCAACTAAGAATTAAAGAAATGTAGGTATCTCTTGAAATAAACGAGGAATAAAGTAAAGTACAGGAACTACGATGAGCGACATAAGCTTTAGGTTACGAAAACTATGTGAACTTGTTCACCGTTAATTAGTTCTGTCTCGTTCCAATGTAAGACTACGCACAATATATTGCATGCAATAAAAAGTTGTAGAGTCAGTACAGTTCTATATCCCCATAGTCCGAACCCGATACAATGTTCGGTTTGAAATTATCAATGGCACGTTCCGGATCGTCTTTTTCAAGGCAAACATGTCCCATCCTGAAATAGTTTTCGGTGCTCGATGATAGTAATAGCGACCCGTATTGATGATTATCTTTAGCACTTTCCACATCACCTCGTTGCTAGCATCACCTGGGCTATCATAGAATACAACAACGTCGTCGAGTAAATGAGAAGCGCCCTGCAACGGAGGAGAGATTTACCGATCGTTCATGATAATCACTAGCCATTTCCGGATCACCTTTGATCACCTTTATAGCAGCAACCTTACTATGCTTTGGCCCTAATTTTTCTAATCTAATTTTTAAAGCCTGTTCATGATAATCACTAGCCATTTCCAGATCACCTTTTTCACGATACACAATACCCAGGCTGTTGTATGAAGCAGCAACGTCAACATGGTTAGGCCCTAATTGTTCTAATCTAATTTTTAACGCCCGTTTATGATAATCACTAGCCATTTCCAGATCACCTTTTTCACGATACACAATACCCAGGTTGTTGTATGAAGCGGCAACGTCAGTATTGTTTGGCCCTAATTGTTCTAATCTAATTTTTAACGCCCGTTTATGATAATCACTAGCCATTTCCAGATCACCTTTTTCACGATACACAATACCCAGGTTGTTGTATGAAGCAGCAACGTCAACATGGTTAGGCCCTAATTGTTCTAATCTAATTTTTAACGCCCGTTCATAATAATCACTAGACATTTCCAGATCACCTTTATCATGATACACAGTACCCAGGTTGTTGTATGAAGTGGCAACGCCAGTATGGTTTGGTCCTATCTGTTCTAATTTAATTTTTAACGCCCGTTCATTATAATCACTAGCCATTTCCAGATCACCTTTATGACGATACACATTACCCAGGTTGTTGTATGAAGTGGCAACGTCAACATGGTTAGGCCCTAATTGTTCTAATCTAATTTTTAACGCCCGATCATAATAATCACTAGCCATTTCCCGATCACCTTTATTATAATACACATTACCCAGGTTGTTGTATGAAGTGGCAACGTCAGTATGGTTTGGTCCTAATTGTTCTAATCGAATTTTTAAAGCCCGTTCATGATATTCACTACCCATTTCCAGATCACCTTTACCATGATACACAATACCCAGGTTGTTGTATGAAGTGGCAACGTAAATATTGTTTGGCCCTAAATGTTCTAATTGAATTTTTAACGCCCGATCATAATAATCACTAGCCATTTCCAGATCACCTTTATAATAATACACAACACCCAGGTTGTTGTATGAAGCAGCAACATGAATATGGTTTGGTTTGAATTCTTCTAATTTAATTTTCAATACCTGGTGATAAAATTCCATTGAGAGTTTTCTTTCGCAAAAGTAATGAAGCGTTTCCCCAAAAAAACAATACATTTCAGAAATTTCAGTTTCGTGAAATTCGAAGCTCAAAAATGAGAGCCCTTGATTTGGAAACAATCTATAAATTTCTTTGTGCAATGCTTTTAAATGTGGAATCGTTTTATTTTTGTCTTTACGATCTTCGAAGTAATAAATTGTTTTCAAAACTTTGAACATTACAACTTTCAAATTATTTTCCGCTGTTCTTTTCTTAGTTAAAATTTCAGTCCCGGAAATTGTGTCATCTTCACATTTTGTGGAAAGAAAATATATTTTGACTGCTTCGTGCACAACACGATGTAGACGGACATCTCTCTCCATATTTCCAACATGAACGAACAAGGAGCAGAGATTTATTGCAAGAATGATATCTTCAGCATCCAGCGATTCTTCTTGCAGCTGAATGTATTTTACAACAAGGTCCAGTGGTAATGGTTCGAACGATATGAAAGAGAAAAGTGTGAATGCGTGTTCGAGAATTTTGTTGTTTTCGGTGCATTTTTCAACAGCTAAAAGCACAGCTGTCGTCATGCTTAAGGAATATGCTGCCAAATTTATCTGCTTAAGACGTTCCTCCGTCGATTTTCTCTTATCCTGTTCTAGCTTTCCTAAATAATCTTGCCAAGAAAAATCCGGGCAACTTTGGATGACTTGTTTCATGTACACGGCTGCCGCAGCCATTGCCAATGGTTGGCGATCCAACTTCTCTGCAACCTCGTCTAGTATTGCATCATTGATGTCAATTCTTGATAAGAGAGTTAGAAGTTTGCGACATTCTTGATCACTCATACCTGAACTGAGGGAAATCTGTTTATTTGAAAGGCTGTCATCAGGAAGACAATTTCTGTTTTGTGTTGTTAATATGATTTGACCGTTATTCCAAAGTTCATCGCCTAACTGTGGCAGAAGTGGGAAAACGAGCTCGGGATTTTCTACATTGTCCACGATGATCCACCACTTTTTCCAGTTCCTTATTCTGCTAGAAATTTGCGATCTTAAATTTTTGATTTTCTCATCTTTTGCTTTTGATGAATTCAACACGCTTTCCAACGCACTTTCGTTGCAATTTAGCCGGCGACAAAAGTCCTCGTATGAATTCAAAAGTGAATCTAAATCTCTTCCGTCTAATGTCATGCAAAATATTGCTTCTGTCCTCCAATCAACTGTTTTGTAAATATCTTCACAGACTTGTCTGGCAAGTTGGGACTTTCCACTTCCTGGATTCCCAGAGATAAAGAAATATGTGAGTTTATCGTCGTTATCGTGATGCAGCTTTTCCAGATCAGATTTTATATCATGTATCAACTCTGAACGGTGAACAACTTCATGAGTTGGCTTAGGAGGTAGAACTTGAAACGACTTGTAAAGATTTCGTTCAATTTTTATTCGTTCAACTTCATTGGTTGGAAGACTCAGGGCTTTAAATGCATTTTCGACACGGGTTGTCATGGAGTGAAAGTCTTTGTCGTCGAGTTCTCCTTCGGAATTATGCTTAATTTCGTTTCGTAATATTCTGATATTGTTGACTTCAATCCGTATCGTTGGATTCAGACTTGTTCCAATGGAATTGGAGTAAAGAATTGCATCAAAGAGCACAGTACAATCCCACTCATTTGTATCACCATCTTGAAATTTAGACTGGAGTGTGTTCTTGTTCGGCCTAGCGCGTGATTTTTCCCGATGGAACAACTGACTACCACTTACGTTTGTGTCATCCCATTTTCCAAAGGAAGCCTGGTAACGACTGTTCCATTCCTGAATAAATATTTTTCTCAATTCTTTACTTGCAACATTGGTGACAATATAATCCATACAGATGTAGTTTCGACTTTCCTCGCTTTCCCATGGTACAGCGGACATTTTATCTCACGTTTATCTTAGGTTTGTCCTGAAAGAATTTAAGCGCTGTGTCAACCAAAGAAATCTGGCATTTTTAAAGCGTGATTGTTTATGCGGGGAACTGGGGAAGTAGGTTACATGCAAACATAAAGTATATGAAACATGGATTTGAACATGGGAACGCAGACTATAGCTGGCCTACTACCGTTGTGTTCTCATTGCAGCGTTTCTCAACCAAGTTTCCACCATGCAGGATTAAATATTATGTCGAACATTTAGTTTGGGTGAATAATTCCCTTCAGCGGGTATCAAAGCTAAATCTCTGGGATTCCGGTGCAGTGATCTTGGGTAATAAATTAAATATAATAGAAAATTAAAACTCGCAAACATGGCAACAATCTTTGCCACGCCTTTTCGAGTTACATCTCGAGAGTTAGCGTGTTGTCATGCTCATCCACGAGAACAGCTATTCGGCGATTCCATTTAGCTTCAATCAATCAAAATGAATCAAAACTTTATTGATCTACAGCTTCGGTAGAAACATTTGGTAAAAGATAAAGGCGGCAGAAAACGTATGCTATTAGAAGACTTTCACAAAGAATTATGTTATTGATTTCATTTTAAGCTGTAGTAACTGATTCATTTTGACTTCCCCAGATACGCCACTTAGATTTCGGGCTGGTCTCTATTAGCGCATTTTTTTACGCGCAGAAAATTTTAAGTGCTTCCAAATTGTTATTATTTCACAAATGGGTCAACAAATGCACACTAAATTATGCGGAGAACTCAGTTCTTTAGATTTATTTGCCTAGATTTTTCAAATATATGACATATAATTTTAAAGATTATTAATTTACACTTTTACCTACGTGTACGTGCATATGATAAACGCGATAGTGTTTGCGCGTTTCTTCACACGCAGAAAATTTTAAATGCTTCATAGTTTTTATTATTTCATACTTGGGTCAAAAAATGTATATTAAAATTTGCGGAAGCAAGGTCTTTTTCCGAATATGACAGCTTTATCAAATATGACATATATAAGATTTAGACTGCAGCGTGCACGTGCGTGTGAAAAATGCGACGCTGGAAAGCAGCCCTAAACAATCTCAAATGCCCCATCTTAAAACAAGGAATATTTTCGCGCTTTAAAGAAATAATTTAACTGCGACTTGGGCGGACGCACATTGGTATCGCATTGGACGCACTCGCTATCTGCCGTGAAATTAGCCAAAACTTCAGTATGGGAAAAATCCGTCCTCAATTTGTGAAATAATGTCCTTATTTTGTGTAAAAAAAGGAAAAAATGAGGACATGTTTTAATGGAAACGAGGGAGGTTTGTTGATTGCGGAAATCTCGAATGATGCACTAGTGGAATTATGTTCGTTGGTAAATAACAGTTTACTTTTAATTAAGTTCTATTGCGGCTACCTAGGGACAATTTACATGATCCCGCCTACCCGTAAAACGGAGCACGAATTGTTTTTAGTTTCGATAATGTTTTAGACAGTGCGAACCCACACATTCACGACCGCATAATTATTATCACGGAATAAGGAATTTATTGCCCGCAAGCAGGCTGTATATATAGAACTTTGTTTATACTCAACTTTATGATTATTTAACAGAAAATAACATTCTCAATGATAATCAGTTTGGCTTTCGCCGAAAGTGTTCTACAACAACAGCACTCTTGAGTTTTGCTGATGAGATCCTGGCTAGCATGGAAAAGGGAGAAGTGTGCGGTGCCGCCCGTGTTCTTGGACCTGTCCAAGGCTTTTGACACGGTCGATCACACTATTATGCTGAAGAAACTGTCTGCCATTGGTGTTTCTAAGGACGATTTGGCATGGTTTGCATCTTATCTAAGTTTTCGACCGCTTCGAACTGTTTGCGGTCCTGAACTGTCTAAACCATTGCTTTGTAACTTTGGTGTTCCGCAGGGCAGTATTCTTGGCCCCTTGCTCTTTTTGATTTGTATCAACGAGATGCCAAGTTTCATTAAATATGAACAATTATCTCTTTACGCAGATGATACTGTCCTGTATTACTTTTCTAACACCTCGCAGGATTTGGGGGAGAAACTAAATGTCGACCTGCGTAATGTTTGTGTCTGGCTTAATGAGAATAAACTAACCTTGAATACAAAAAAGTCCAAATTTATGATTATTGGGAGTAGCCGCAAACTTTCTAATATTGATTCTGTCACAGTAAAAGTAGCTGGCAGTAATATAGAAAGAGTTGAAGAATTCGCGTATCTTGGAGTAACCTTCTCAACTAGTATGACCTGGACTGAACATGTTAACCAACTTTGTTCAAGTATCAGCAAACGCCTGGGGCTCCTAAAGAGAATTAAACATCTGCTACCGCGATATGCAAGACTACTTTTTTATAAGAGTCTGATTTTACCATTGTTTGACTATGGTGACCTGATATGGGGTGATAAGAACAATGACGTACTGATGGGCAATTTACAAATTCTTCAGAATAAAGCGGCAAAAATCGTCCTTGATTATCATCCATATTCCTCGTCTAGTGCTGCGTTGGGTGAGTTGGGATGGATCATGCTTCACCATCGTCGATTTTATCATAGATGTTTATTCATTTTTAAATGTTTGAATGGTCTATCTATGTCTAAGCTAATTTTGAAATCACAAAGAGAAATTCATTCCTATAACACTAGAAATAAGAACAATTTACGCTTACCTAAAGTTAAAAGAAATTGGGGCAAGCAAAGGTTGGAATATCATGCAGTAAACGACTGGAACACTCTTAATGAAGAGACCAGATACTCAGACTCAATTGTTAAGTTCAAAAGGAACTTTTTTAAAACTTATTAATATTGTATTATAACATTCATAGCACGTTGACGTACTCTCAAAATTCTATTTAGTATCTAAATATATCTATTTTATTGTTGTAGATAGCTCATAGCTCTTAGTCTTCTTGTAACTCAAACACTAGGCATACTTTTATTGATTCTTAACCTTATTAATATTTGATGTTACTAATTTTATGACTCATATTTATATATGTATATATTTATATATAGGACCTCTCTGAAAATCACTTTACGTGAGAGAGTTTCCTATTAAAATATTGTCATAAATAAATAAATAAATAAATAAATAAATAAACTTTTGATAAAACGCATATGGACAAGAACATGGACACGCCTGAGAACATTCTCAAAACCAAGTAGCCTTTAAGGCCTGGTTCACACAAATATCGGCAAAACAACCCATATTATTAGCAAAGCAACCCGGCTACATCGAATAGACAACCCATATCCGCAAAGCAATTACGACTAATGACAACGGAATTATTTGCCCACAAAAATCTACAGTAGGGCAAATACCGTAAATAACAAGATTTGAACAACGTCAATTTATGCTCATTTAGAAGTATAACCTCGTTGCTTTATACCTCAGTTTTTTATGCGCAGTTACTGCGTTTCGAGGTTCGCAAAACCTTTGCAGTTTTTGACTGACTATAATCGTCCTATTTGAATTTGAATATGATTGTTTCAACTTACATGCTGCACCTATATACAAAGCGCGTAATGGTTTAGATCTTGTTTAATTTAAATTCCTAATTCAGGGTAAAGTAAACGCAACAATGCTTTTCTCATTCTTCCTCTTCCGTCGACTTCGTTCGGAAACGATGTTTATAGTAATTTAAATTACGAGGAACGCACTGTATGTTTTTAACTGGGTATATAAATCACCACGACCTTTCGACCACGCGAGGAATTTCGACAAGTTTATATTTTTCGTTAATCACATCCGTTCCCTTTACACAAAGACGTGACCAAAATCATGAACACAATACACCTTCAAATGCTATATATTTGCTTATCAGAACGTAACGTTAAAGGAATAACTCTACATGCAAGCCAAGATATTCACATGATAAAGCGAGGGTTGAAACGAATTATAAAGATTTGTCATTCGAAACTATTTTCGAAACCTATTACGTTTGTAAACACCAAGCTACGACTGGCTGCCGAAAACACAGAACTTTAAGTTCACATGCATATGTCTCTCCACGTATTTCTATTCTTCATCTCCGACGAAAGAAAACGTTCAGTTGGATTACCTTTATATTTGTCTTCAATCTTTCCGTCCTCAGTTGTATAGACCGACGGCTAGTAATAAAGCACTTCGTCTTGCTTACACTACTTCACAGTTCACTGGTAACAGCGGGAGTGGCCACGAGAATTTATCGTATGACAAATGATGTTTATCAGCTATCGTATTACGTTAAGGAAGGGTAGGCCGTCGAAGGGTAATATTTCGGGATATCTTGTTTAGAAACAAGACTATTGTTTTTAATAGTTGTGCGTGTAGGATTGTAGTACATTTACGATAGAAAGTAGTAGCTATACTGCGATTGTGTAAGAGGACTTTAGAAAATATAAATTTCTCTTACCCATTCGAATACGAGCTCGGTTTAATTCACATTGAATTGAAGCCTTTTCGAGGAATCGAATGAATGATTTATGAAATGAAATAACTACAGTATCAATAATATTTTAGCAAGTGCGAATCTACAGGGTGTCCCAAAAAAACCGAAAACTATTGAAATCACCCATAACAATGCCATTGTTAGAGTTTGAATGCCTTAGCACTCTGTTGGGCCCACAAGTGTATAAATCGGGGTTGCCATAAACATTTTTATGCATGCATATGATGCAGTCAAATTTGCTTGTTCGCAAAAATGATATTTATTAACAATATTTCCAATTTACAAATTTGGGATAACATTATTTAAATGTGCATCTCAAGGACCATGACCTTCGACATGTCCCCTTTCTCTAGCAACACAAAGCATTTAGCATTTTATATATTGCATTAAATCCCCACGGGCTGAAATTCGTGAACACGGCATTCAAATTTTAACAATGAGTGATTTCAATAGTTTTCGTTTTTTTTGGGACACCCTGTATATACATCCATGCATGTACTATATACTATATATGCATAATCACAACTATATCTTACTATACTTAGGGAATCGCAACAGCATGCGTAGTTCCTCGCTTCGGTCCTTAAATTACCAACCCATATTGGTAAAGCAATCACCATGCACTAATGACTGCGGAATTATTTGCCCCCAAACATGAGATGCAGATAACCAGCATATTCACCAACCACAAATTAATAAAAACATGTTTACATCAGCTAATAAAAAACGGCGAGATATCTATTGGATTAACCAGATACTTTGTTATCGCACGTTTATAGTATATCATTGCATACAGTTTGTTCATTTGTAGTAATGTATATTATCATATACATATCAAGTACGAATTATGAATATATAGTATACGTTATACAGAAGCTATTCAAGTAAAGCCGCACATCAAGAATATCTGCAGTACGGCAAATACCGCAAATAACATCGGCAGTTTTTAAGCATCTAATCGTCGTATTTTTGGCATATTATCCTACTGATTCAACCCATATACATGCAGCGCCTATACAAAACACATATTTGCTTAGGTTTGGTTCCTGTCTTACAGAAATCGGAATTAAACCTAAACACTACAATGCTCAACCGGAAAGCTTCTTTTTATGCTTTGTGTCAAGTCGGGCCTTAAGTGCAACGATATTTACAGCAGTTAAAATAGGAAAAGCGCACTGTGTCACACACTCACACTGCAAAGGTCTTCACGGCTTTACGGCTTTTGTGCGCGAGGGATTTCATCATCAGTGTATTGTATTATTTTTCATATTACATCATAGTTTATATTTGCGTATTCAGAAATTATTCAATAAAATTTTCATGTATGGATTATCCATGGTTATCGCATTTATCGAATGTTATTGTTTTTGTTTATGGAAAGTTCGCTGATATTATAATAAAAAATACAGTGTATATATGTCGTGGTACCCTAGACGGAAGCCCCAGTGCATGAAAAGATTTATATAAAGCCTTATGAATAATACGTTGATGACAGTACAGCCATGTTATGTCGTTGGGATCAATGATTTAGATTTGGCCTAAACGTCGCAATTTTTACCACTGAAATATCAAAGACAGCAGATGATTTAAATGCATTAGGTATACATAAAAAGTGCGTTGCTTCGATGGAGCGTGACAAGTAAATTCTCGATGTTGCGAAATATTTTTAATTAATCACATCTGTTGCCTATATTATACCAAGACGTGACCGAAATCATAAACAAAATACACCTTGAAATGGTTCGTATATTTGCTTACCAGAACGTTTACGGAATTGCTCTACCAGCCAAAGTATTCACATGATAAGCGAGGTTTACATTATGAGAGCTTGAGAATCGATTTAACCGTGGTCAATTCTATATCAGAACGAAAGAAATCATACGGATATGTCATTTGATATTATTCTAAAACATATACGTCCGTAAACATCAAAATACGACTGCTTTAACACAGAACGCTTATTATTCTTACCTACATATCTCCCGCGAATTGTATCATTACTCTTGATTTCAAACGAAAAAGTTTAGTTCGATATTGTTGTTCTTGTTAGCATAATTATGTTGTAAGTCAGCTATTGATGTATTTACTTAAAACTGCTTTGCTAGTCATTATTTCTGGTACTGATGTAAAAAGGGGGGCGGAAACGAGAATTTATTGTGGGGTGTCACGAGTCACAGGTAATATACCATTTGAATGCGAAGGGGGGGTGAAGAACAGGTTCAAAGCGAAGTCTTCTATTAAAGTATCTCGTTTAGAAACTAGAGCACTTCTTTAACTTATCAATGGTCGAACAATAAGAACTCAACTAAAAACATCAAAAGTGTACCATGTATAGTGATTATAATTTAATTGCATGCTATTATTTATATATTGAACTTTTTGCCTGCATTGCCTATGCGTGGGTGTCATTAGGAATTTTATTAGGGAGTTTGAGAAAGGCACGAAGTACGAAGACGAAGACAAACTTCACAATTTTTTAACGTCTGCGCATCATTTTGCGCATACTCCGCCTAAGGTCAGCGGTGAGGGTTTAACGTCTTCGTCCTGTTGTCCTGGTTTAGGACGAATATTTTGACAAAGTTTGTTGTGGTCAGAACGAAGTTTTCAAGGTAAAACATATTCAAGTCAAATCCTGAATAGTTCTTGTTTGAAATATAAATGTTTTTTGAGATTTGTAAACCGTAAAGAAGTATAAAATCTTCATCTTCCAAAGCATCTTCTGAAAACATTGCTAAAATAGCCATCTCGTATTCAATTTTTTTCATGTTTACAATTTTAGTACTGTATTCGTAGCCGTATAACTTTGACAGAACCGCTGAATTCAAATATCCCGCTGCACGAAGACTTAAGACGAAGACTACTATTCCCAGTCTACCTCGGCCGAAACACGTCTTCGTCTTCGTACTTCGTTTCCTTGCTCAAACTCACTATTCAGTGGTTTAAGGGGCTGTTTACACGAGACCGGTTACCCGAGATTCAACGAAGCGTGAGATGCTTTTGAGGTATTGAAATGAGCAGATAACATGAGCAGTCGTATAATCACCACAACAATAGCATGTGCTTGTTTGGTGTAATAAAGGCTTATTTCAATACCTCAAAGTCCTCTCACGCTTCGTTGAATCTCGGGTAACCGGGCTCATGTAAACAGCTCCTAAGTTGGGCTCAGCTTAAAATTAATCCTCGCCTAGATTATGCAGCACATGAACGAGCCATAGAAAGATTGGTATAAATATGATGAAATTGTCCATGTAAAGCCATACCCTAATAATCTTGAAACATGCTATAAAATGTGTTTATGTAAACTTCATGTAACTGGCGACCATCGTGTCTAGAGTCTGAAAATCACATTTAACAATGACAACATTTACACAATATTAATCAACAAATAATACGATCATAATCCTTGCTCCACATCATTATCGGTTGAAATTTGATGCATCAGAGGACATTTTTACTTTCAAGCTTCGAGAACAGTCGAGTATAACAATGCTCCATGGCACCTTCCCGACTACTTTTCGTTTGAACTTCGACAATGCCTGTGCAGGCGTCGATACAAGTGCAAATCCACACCCATTCCACTCCACGGATGCTTCCTTGGATGTTCCACCTGACGTTGCAGCCTGGCTTACGAGGAAACTGCATAGAAAAAAGGACTTTGTTAAATTAAAACAACAGCATTAAACCAGTATCATATAGATAGCTAATTGAAAACCTTTCCTTCTTTCTCTAAAACAAATCCTTAGAAGAATTAATTCTTATACCATGATATCAGTAGCGTAACCAGCCTGTCGATTTGTCCCGCTATGCTAATATTTTAGTGTTCACTGACTGTGCAATTGTGAAAACAATAAATTTCTAAAGACATGAATAATTATAATTACTCGAAATTTACATTGCGAGACAAAATCATCAGGCTGGCTACGAGATGCATTTAGTAATATTTACGATAAAAATGACGAAAATGCAGCTTGGAATGATAAAATAAGGAGTAAAAATACACGTTAGGTTACCATGAATCCACGTGGATAGACTGAAGTCAAAGTTGAATAATCATTTCAATTACCTCTCCGTTCTCGCCAAGGAAATTATTTGCCACGTTGACTCCTTTCTTTATGTCATTTATTACACCTTGAAAATCTATTCCTTGTACGCTTGGCCAAGCTACAGTTTTGAAAGAATTGCGCATGCGGGTGATTGTAATTCGGAATGACTGAGGTTAGGTGATGAGTTATGCTCAGATTAATAAAGATAAACAGTATACAGCACAACACAACAAAATACACAAACAGTATATAACATTCATGCAGCAAAATGCAACGCTATTGTTGGAGACTGAGATTAATTCATTAACAGTACATGGATATAGGGGATTTTTATACTGTCTAATATATTTCATTATAGTTTACAAGTTAATCGTAATTACGAAGTTCATTTGACAGGGGTTGCGTAATATCCTTGTTATGATCCATATATTAGATGGTGAGAGAGAGTTGGGCGTGTAATTGTCACTAGCCGTGCGCTAGTGATCTGTGATTTGTGATCATTTAATAAATATAATCATTTATAAAACTGCAAGTGATTGTGACTTGTTGGAGACTACATGCAGTTTGGAGGCAGCGTCCTCGACACTGTACAACACAAGGAAATACACATTACAAAAAATGAACTACACAAGCTGGACTGGATTATGTGTGCTTGGGCTAACTATCTCTCCCCATCAGTAGAAGAAAAGAAGTGAAAAATTGAAAAAATAGGGCATTTAACTCCGAGTAGAACAGAGAAGAAATACAATCAACGTCAAAATCGCTATAACTATAAGAATTTCATTCCCTCTCCTATATTTATATGTTAACGTGAACGTTATTATCACAGCTTTTGGCCATGGCAGGAAAAATGGACCTCGCCACAAACGTTTAAAACATGTTTCACTGGCCTGCTCTTAAATTAATATGTGGTTTAACTGATAATGGTATCATATATTTTAAGAGAACGACTAGCGGTTTTCAATAGATACGAGGAACCGAAATAAAATTATATGAACGATATATGACGCAATTGCTATACTAGGTTAGCAGTGTTTCTATGTTTAAGACGTCACTTCGCGATTCCTAATTTCAGAATCCGAACACGTATCCAACGCATTACTCATTTGTGCAAAGTTTCAATACGCAAAGGAGAAAAAATTAAACAATTTACTTACCAATAGAAAGAACAATAAATACACTCAAGGTTGAAACGGCTAAGAACTTCATTTTCCCTTATCTATACTTGTACGTTAACTTAAACGTTCTCTTTACGTTGCTTTCATATGCAGCAAAGGCCAGCTGATCGATGATACACCAGAAGCGTCTCGGTTTTAAGCTGAATCTCTCGCTGGCTTGCTTTTATATCCTGCAGGTTTAACAAAAAATTCCCCTGACGTCATATATTTTAAAAAGAATTGCTATACACAGGACTTATAAATCTCACGTAGCGACGCGTATTCTTTGCTAACCACGCCTGTCGCCCACACTTTGCGCTTTGACCAAAATAATGAAAACAATATCACTTAAAATCTTAATTTAATTTCAAATTCTTTATCTTTGCTTACCAGAGAGTTGACAGGATTGCTCTACCGAATGATCTCAATTATCGTTGCGTCGTTTTTGTAAAAGAACGAAAGGAATTTTAACTATTTTATTATATCAACGAAACCTACTGCGTCTGTGAGCATCAAACTATCATTGCCTAATACACAGAACTTATAAATCTCACCTTTATATCTTTAGACACGTATCTTTATTCTTGGTTTCGTACAAAAAAAATTCGTGTTATTACTTTCAGTTGTGAATGTATTTAATATTGCTGTCTTTGTAAGTCGGGCTGTTGTGTGCCTTAACTGAATGACTTGACGTCTCGTTATTCCTAATATGGGTAAAATGGGGGGTGGTCACACAAGTTTATCGTATGACAAAGAAAGATGATCAGATAATGCATCATTTAAATAGGGAGAAGAGTCGAAGGGATATTTAACTTGCTTAAATTTACTCGCTTAGAGTTCTACTTGCTTATATAGTTTAATCTGTAGATAATGATGCTAACTCATTCAGTAGGCGATCTAAGTTACATGATATGATTGTATTAATAGTACCGATGCCAGATTATTGTATGAAACCAGTCGTTTGCATTAAAAATGCATTAAAACATATCCTCGACTTTACCCTCGACCCTCGCGAGACTCCTTGTTTCGACAGGCACTTTACATAGGAAAATATTTCTTCCAAAAACAACTTCTCTGTGTACACATTAGCCGAGTCTGTGCTAGTCTTTCAATTATATTCAACCAAAATCATTCCCTAAACAACAGCGAATCTTCGCCATAAACAATGTTCAATACTTGGACAACCATAAATAGTCCGTTTAATTTGCAGAGGAAGAGTAATGCATTCATCTCTTAATTGACTGCACAAAATTGCCGATGACTCAGATTATTCAAGATGATCCAGTATCGTTTTAAATTGCTAAATTTTTTATGTAACGTTACTTGGTTATTCACAACAAAAAGATGCTGATGCGTTGCTCGTAAGAGTGGTAATGATGCCGATGGATACTTTCAAAAACTGAAACAATTTCTTAATAAAGATTGATTTGCATAAATCTTTCCATATAAAGACTATAAAGACTAGTATATATCGGCCAAAAAAACCTCGTGTTCGGGCGCGGACGTTTCTTCACAGGGAGAGTTTCTATAGTAAAAGCGTTTATGTAGTTAGCGATTAAGCATTCTGTCTTTCTTTTTGCTTGTTTAAAAAACGCGACTTGTACCTAAATACGCACTTCCGACATGTTTAGGAGTTAACTCAGTATTCAACAGAACAATACATTGAATGGAGGGAGGGGTTCCGAGGGATAAACAACAATACAGGGTACAAATAAATGGTGCATACATGGCGATCCTTTTGTGGTTGGGACTGAAAAAGGTTCTTACTATCGTGTTCACACACTAGTCTGCATGTAGTTACCAGGGACCGCGCAGCAGGGTGGCTCACTGGGCTTTAGCCCCACCAATAATTTTTCCTTATTTACTCTTTAATTTTGAATATTTTTTAGTTAGCTCAAATTTACAAGCTAAAATTTACAAGCAATACAAGCGCCAAACATGCTGGAGACCGCCTTTACATTGGACAAGCATTTGGCCATTAAAACAGCGTGGTTATCCACGTCAAAATATTTGACATCATAACCAAAGCATGGTTATATTGTTTAATGTTTGTAGATGAGCATGAAACATGCTTGCAACTTTACACAAGACAAGTATTTGATCATTAAAACAGTGTGGTTATCCATGTCAAAATATTTAACATCATAACGAATACATGGTTATATTGTTTAATGTTTGTACATGAGCGCATAATATGCTGGAAACTTTACATAAGGCAAGCATTTGACCATTAAAACTGCGTGGTTATCCATGTCAAAATATTTGACATCATAACCAAAGTATGGTTATATTGTTTAATGTTTGTATATGAGCGTCAAACATGCTGGAAACTTTACATAGGACAAGCATTTGACCATTAAAACAGCGTGGTTATCTATGCCAAAATATTTGACATCATAACTAAAGCATGGTTATATTGTTTAATGTTTGTACATAAGCGCCAAACATGCTGGAAACTTTATATAGGACAAGCATTTGACCGTTAAAATAGCGTGGTTATCCATGTCAAAATATTTGACATCATAACCAAAGCATGTTATATTGTTTAATGTTTGTACATTAGCGCCAATTATGCTTGAAACTTTACATAGGACATGCAAGCTTTTGACCATTAAAACAGCGTGGTTATCCATTTAAAAATATTTGATATCATAACCAATACATGGTTATATTGTTTAATGTTTGTACATGAGCGCCAAATATGCTGGAAACTTTACATAGGACAAGCATTTGACCATTAAAACTGCGTGGTTATCCACGTCAAAATAGTTGATATCATAAACAATGCATGGTTATATTGTTTAATGTTTGTTGTACATGAGCGCCAAACATGCTTGAAACTTTACATTGGACAAGCATTTGACCGTTAAAACAGCGTGGTCCCGAACTCTCCTAGCAGGCGCACGGTTCCAAGCCTCAGCAATACGAAAAACGCTCCTTGGTTACAAGTTGGATTTACTGTGCTAATGCATTCTTTTGTAATATAAGATGCTATTTGTATGTGTTGAAAGAAAATTTATAGCTTTGTTTTAGAGTTACAGGGTCCCAAAACGCTATCCTAATTTCTACATGCGTATATTCTTTATGCAAACACTTCCAAGACTGGAATTATGAGCGCTGTTTACAGTCAAGATGAAACTGATTGAGGTCAGGTAGAAATATAATATTTATATAAAAAAATTATAATAATCCTAAAAATATACCAAGATATGCTCTATTTATTTCGCATTATTTTTTTCTGAGTAAACGGCACGGTTGAAAAAAATTGACGTGATATAATCGTATCTTCACTCGTTATTTTGTTGACTGGAGAAGAATTTGTCAGAATTTGCCTTAAAATGCGCCTCAGCGCAAGTATAGTTATAAGTAGTATCTAGGAGTTTAGGTTTAAAATATAATTCAAATTGTCAACATTGCATTAATATCAGCCAACCACCCTATGCGAAACTTATAGTATGGGTCTATGCTGTATAGCTATTTATTGATGCAAATTTGTGCTGTCTTAATGATTAGTCTTGATTAGTTGACCCAGAATATTTGGTTTATAATTATGTAATATGTGTGTGTAATATTGTATACCTAAGAATATATGCTGCCATGACAATGTTTCAGCTTTGACTGTCTTATAATGTTCATTATAAACATTGTAAGGCCAACTTTCATATTTTAGGAAATAATCTAGTCTATTTATTTTTTTACACAGTTGACATTTTACAAAACACCTCTGAGCATTGTGGAATAAAATTTTCCAAGTCACTTGTATCCATAATGCCCTGGTAATAATGACTAAAGAAGTAGTACTATAGGTAATAAAGATAAAGATGCTGTGGTAAGAATGATTTAATTTAACTGTAATTTCACAGATTATTCTACTTATAAAGCATAGGGGAATGTTACCAATGAGATAAATTGCTTTGTTTAACAAATCTATATTTTTGTCAACTTTCATTTTACTCACAAATATTTAATTTAATATAGGTTCTAACAATTGAATCTGAACCACCATGGATCTGCACAAGGCTGCCATCAGTGATCTGCATGTGTACACCCAAGACACCTTCAGTATACACCTTTGCAGTACACCTTTGCATCTACGACTGAAATACCTTCAGTGATCATCATTGACAATGAGGAAGAATTTCATTTTGACCACAAGAGTGGTATTGAATCACCCAGACACATCACCAGTTTTGTCAAGAAAAACCTGGTACAGTGATAGCACCTTCTCAGAACTCATCACCCGACTTTGCGATTAAAGAAACAAGAATCATTCATAAGCTTTGCCTTGGGTAATGGACTTCAAGCTCCCTGATACTGTAAGTTTCACTGTATCTGTAATCGCACTTATGAATTTTGTGGTGTATAATATACAGTAGTTTTTTGCTGACCTGAGCAGCATAGGTTAATTTACTTAAATGGAAGGAACAGTGTATACAAATATTATAATGTTAATGTATTGTTATGTGTCTTGCAAAAAAATGTTTATAGTGTTAAAATTAAAGAAATATTATACTATTTTTCTGTTTCCTTGTAATATTTTTGGCATTTGAATGTATGATATCATTCTGCTACATGGCACTATAGAATGATAACAAACTTGAGTGCTTTTTCAATATGATAGTTTAGTGCTTAAATAACACAGGCTGTTAACTAGTTGTAAGGTGCTAAATAAATTCTTAAAAGGAGTGTTGTTTTAATACTGCCAGTAGTGTTGAATTAACTCGCAGAAAGAGTGCTAATTAAGCTCTAGGTATGTGCTGTTTTAGCATCATATCTGGAGTTAAAATAACACTATAACCAGTGCTAATTTAGCACTAAGAAAGTGTTGTTTCAGCACCAAATCCACTAGTGCTAAATCAGCACCTAAAAATGGTGCTATATTCTACCTTTTTTTTCAGCACCACTTTTTGGTGTCAAATTAGCACCTCAAAATTAACAGTGTATCACTCACTCATCGCAAAAACTAACTCGCAAGCTCGCTGGGAGAAATTTCGTCAAATCACAATGCTTGACAGTTCATTTTAATCAATGCAAACACTCGCAGCAGGCTTACGAGTTTATTTTGCGATGAGTGGAAAACATCCTTAAGGGCTGCTTTCCATGCATGCACTGTCGCGTTTTTTGCACGTACGTAGACGCACGCGTAAAAGTTTAAAACCATTTGAATGATATACTTATAAAATCTACGATTGAAAAGAGGCAAACGTATTTTTATCAGTGACGAAGGGACAAACGCAACGAAGAATGACAAATCAAGCTTTACAGGCTGTTATGGTAATATGTGGTCGGCTCCATATCACTGTCCCATCGTTTTCTGTTGTAATAAATTGCTGCTGAAAATACGCTGAATCCAAATCCTCCAAGTTCTGATGGAATGAAGCCCTGTACCATTGCTTGAAGTATTCAAATGATTCAAATCGAAATGGGCGAACAATTTTGTTAATCGCAACATTGTTGAATAGATCAACAGCTTGGAACAAATCACGATAGTCCTCTTGGGTTAGAGGCTGGAAATTTTTTATACATTTTTCAAAATCAGTTGACGTTATCTTTTCACCACACCTGATAGCAAGCTTTCCTCCGGACTTCAAACATTCGTAAGCTTTTTGTAAATAAATCGCTTTCTGGTCATTGGGCACCCAATGAAATACACAAGTACTGACATGAGCATCATAATACGGTTGATCATCGTGTGGAAACCCAGCAACACTATCCCCAACATGAAAATGTAAATTACTGCATTCTTTGTATTTTTCAACTGCGATTTTAATTCTCGCAGCATCAGGATCAACGCCAACCGCCTCGCCATCAGGACCAACGATATCAGCGATGTATTCAGTGAGCTTGCCTGTTCCACAGCCCATATCAAGGACTTTGTCTCCCTTGGAAAGGTTTAATTGGCGAATAAAATCCTCTCCCACTTCAACTTGTGGTAGGGACAGCTTATCGTAGGCCACAGCGTCTGCCTCCATGGCTTTATCGAAATGTGTTTGTTTTATATACGAAACAAGCTGATGCAAGATTTAATTGAATGTGAGGGATATTGTTTCACCCACGTATAAATAGCGAGGTTCGTTGATCATGGAATAATCAAGAGGGGTTGATTGATCATGGAATAATTAATAAGTATAGTTGAGTATGAGTGGAATTTGTTTGCAAATATAAAATTCAGGGATTACCTCTGCATTTAACTTCTGCTTGGCGCAGCTTATCGTCAAACAGCTATACATCAAAAATCATATTTTTATCAAAAATCAGGTTTTGTAATGTGCAATTTGAGCAATATGCTCTTTCAATTGCAAGATACATTGTGTCAAACTGTCACAAACAGGGAACATCTATAAACGTTTTTCTGCTATTGAGACATATGGCATATATATGAACATATGAGGGACTGTGTCTGGAATCCTTTGCAATTAATGAAGTACTTTAAAGCGAGTGCACTCGTTATCTTTTTCCACTGTAGTTTCCGGCTTCATTCGTAACTACACTGCATGTACAATCCTGGAAAAAAATTCGTAGACTTTCCTAATTTTGATATTTCCTCCCCCCTCCCCCCCCATTACAATGTTGAACTAGTGTTGTATCTCTTCCAAATTGTCATTAAACTGAACAACATTGTAATTGGGGGAGGGGGGGGGGGAATTTATGGCAACTTGTCTTTTAGTTGAGAGAATTGGTACATTTGCTGTACATAACTGGAAATCTGATTGGACTTCGAAAAAAGTCTCCCAATATTTTTTCCAAGATTGTCTCAGTTTAAATATTCAGTTAAAAAACGTTTCGCTAGCCTATTCGTTGTTTATGATAAAGTTCTGCTGTG